AAAAAGATAATGCATATCTTAATGAAAGAAGAAATTGAAAATTGTTGTTACAAGAGAACTAACACATATTCGGAAAAAAAAGAAAAAACATTTGATAGAAAAAAAAACGATATCTTGTACTTCGTCAAAAAGGTACTGAACGTCAACAGACAGTTTAATTAAAATAATTGGAGATATTTCCATAAAAGGGTCTGTTTGGTAGAAGAAGAATTGTAACTGTTTGAATTATAAAAACATTAGATGACTTGGTTGAAGAATTGAAAAAACATGGTTACAATCTCTCCAGATCAGGAGTTTATTTAAAATTACTTCCTAGCAGATTATTGAGCACAGAAAGAAAAGTTAATAATAGCGAAATTTCTGACCATAAAAATCATGCAGACATATAATTTGCTAAATCATCCATCAGTGCCCTTGAAGAATATGCTGCAGGGTACTATAGGGTGCCAATTGGATTAACAACTGCAAACAAGTTGAAAATTATGTCCTGGATCTAAAAAAAGTGACTTTTCTTTCCCCGGGTAATAAAACTCAGATGCTAATTGGATTGACAACTGCAATAAAACAACCACCAATCATGATGCATTTGGAGCAGAAGGTGAATTTAGCTGATCATGATTTTGTAATTGCTCCTTAACTCAAACTAATTTCTTTAGTAATTGCAGACATAAAAATTAAAAAAGATTGCATTGAAAAACCAGCAGTACATTTACATACTCTTGCCCAACATACATAGCAATCAGAAGTGCAAAACATGATTCATTAACAGCACTTAGTCACTTAAAAAGCCTGAACAGAATTAACTACTTTTCTGCGTTTGAAATCAGCTTTTTTGTTAAAGATGGAGTTAGCAAACCAGTCATGGTTATAACTGTTGATGGTGGAGCAGATGAAAATCCAAGGTATGAAAAAACAATTCATTGTGCCAAGACTTATTTTAAAGAGCATGATCTTAATGACATGATTGTGGTAACCAACCATCCTGGTAGAAGTCCTTTTAACAAGGTAGAGAGAAAAATAGCAAAGCTATTTTTCTCTCTACCCTGTTTAAGGACTTCTACCATTATAATTCAATTTAATCATTTTGGAAGCTATTTTAATACAAATGGAGAAACAACAGGCAAAGTTATGGAGAAGGAAAATTTGCCTCAGCTGGTGAGGTTCTTGCTCAAATTTGGTCCAGCACAGCGATTGAAATTATAGCTTATATATTGAAAAATAGTGCAAAAAACAAAACAGTGAAAAAAAGTGTACAGTAAAAGCAGTTTGTAGCAGAGTGGGATGCTAAACATGTCAGAGAAAGTTTATCTTATTCCGACTTTTTTCCTCCACCAATTTCTTTGTTCCAAGGAGAAGATGGCCTTGAATGCAATAATACAAAGAACACCTTTGCATACCTCTTTATAAACTTATCTCTCCGCAAAACAATTTTACCCAAGACTTATAACAAAAAAGGTTCCTAAAGGATTATCATACGACTAGTCAAGCATTCAAAGTTTCTTACCAAAAAGAATTTGTACTAATTGTAGTCTATATTTCGCCACTATCAAATCAATAAAACAACACAAAACAGTTTGCTTAAGTATTGGATTATCGAATGAGATTCAAAAAGTTAAACTTCATTGTCTAGTTGCTTAATGTCTATCTGAACTCATATGTGTCTTTTTAAATTCAGACAAAGAAACAATTGAGTAGTATGATCAGGACAATGTTGATACCTCTGAACTCAACTAGCCTTGAATAATTATTGAACTTGAAACTCCGATACTTGAAAGCAAAGTCCGATTTTGTCTTAAACAGTATTATGTCAATTGTATTTTTTAAAAAATATATGAGCCGTTACAATTAAATAAACTCATGAAAAATTTAAATTTTTGTATTTGTAGCGTCACACAGGGAGGGGAGATCTTAAAAATGTCACAAAATGTCTCATAGGGACGGGGTCTCTAAAAACGCCTAAAAAAGGGTCAAAAAGTGTCACGTATTATTTGAACAGCTCCTTTCAAGAAATTGCTATCATTCGGTTATTGTTTAAACAATCAAAATATTTCCGTAAAATTTCTGATCTACAAGATAAATAATTAGGTTAAAGTGGATTAAAATCCAGTAAAGATAGTTTGAGTGAGATTACTAAAGAGAAAAATAGTAATAAATGGCCATCTGGTACTGTTTTAATATGTGGTGATTCAATTCTCATAGGAATAAATGAAAAAAAAATTCACAAGTCAGGAAAAGTTGAAGTACGAACATTCAAAGGAGCAACTATTGAAGATATGCACTATAATTTAATTCCACTTTTGAAGAAAGAGCCATCTAAGCTAATCCTAAATCCATATAGGAACAAATAATTATGTCTATGATTCATCGGAAACTATAATGAGAAAACTTAAAGGCCTTGTCGAACGTATTTCAAGTTTGAATCCATCCTGTTTGGTCATTTTGTCTACGCTGACTTTTTGTTTTGGTAACGCCAAAGCCCAGCTGACTTCTAAACATTTAACAATTAAGTTTAAAGAATCAGGTTTTAATATTATTGATAATTCTAACATCTCCAAAGAACATCTTTGACAACTGGATCTCTATTTAAAAACGTGAGGTTCGGGTAGATTAGCTATGAATTTTATTAATTATTTGAAGTCTATTTAATATTGACCCCCCCACCTTTAATTTATGATCTCCAAACAACCTTACTTAACCCCAATGAAGAAAATAGTCATAGCTCCATTGAAAACTAAAAATTTAAAAGCTAACAATAAGCCATTTATAACTAAGAATTTTAGAAAAGCAATTAGGCTTTGCTCAAAATTAAAAAGAAAAAAATTCCAGATTGAAAAATCAGACATTTCTTTGTGTTTTTATAAGAAACAAAGAAACTACGTAGTGAATTTGAATAAGAAAGCAAAGAAAATATATTTTAGTGAAATAAATTTATTCAAGTCTTCTACTACATGTCTATGGAAGATATGCAAGCTTTTTCCTTCTAATAAATCTGGTAATTCGAACGATCGCATAACGTTGATTGAACATGGGGAAACTATTTCAAATAACTTTCAAATTTCAAACATTTTCAACTTATATTTTACAAACGTTGCATTGTCTTCTATAAATAGTGAGATGAGTTATCGTCCTTCTCCTTGCAATGTGCATTGTTGAATCTGCTATTATAAGATATGCAAACCATCCCAGTATTATAAACATTAAAAACAAATCCAAATTATATCCTCAAAATTTTAAATTTCATCAAATTACTCCAGATGATGTAAAAAAAATTATTTAATCTTTAAATAGTAAAAAGAAGACAAGTGGATTCCAACGTTTATGTTAAAAACTCATGTCATGGATTTTAGAGAAAGCCTTACTTCTTGTATAAATAATTGCATATCCCAAGGCGAATTCCCGTCCTTCTTAAAAATGGCCGATGTCATACCATGTTTTTAAAAAAATGATCCTACTGATAAATGTAACTTTCGCCCAATAAGTATTCTACCAGTTCTCTCAAAAGTTTTTGATATTGTTATTTACGAGCAAATGCGGGTTTTTATAGAGCCAAATTGCTGTGTGGATTTCGGAGAGGGTATAGTGCACAGTACGCACTTTTTAATTTAGTTAATAGGTGGTAAGAATGCTTGGATAAAGGAGGCATAGTTGGCGCCAGGCTTATGGATTTATCAAAGGTATATGATTCAATTCCACATGACTTGCTTATAGCTAAGTTGGAAGGTTATGGGTTTTCTTACGATAGCCTTGAACTCTTATTATCTTACCTTTCTGCTCGCAAACAGAGGATAAGACTAGGATTGTTATTTTCTAAGTATTTAGATATGGAATATGGTGTACCTCAAGGCTCAATTTTGGGACCAATTTTCTTTAATATTTTTATCAACGATTTTTTTTAATTTATAAAAGACTCTAAAATCTGTAACTATGCTGATGACAATACTCTTTCTGTTTGTGACAACAACCTAGAGAGTATTAATGCTCGTCTTTAAATAGAAACATCAAACGCGATTTTATGGTTTGCTTTGAATAAAATGGTTGCAAATCCGGACAAACTTTAATTTTTTTAGCTGGCTTAAAAATTGTGAAGATCAATTTTTAATGGTTTGGAAATGTATAAATCATGGTTTCTTCTAAGGTTAAACTTCTCGGGGTTACAATTGAGAACCCAGTCAGGAATTTGATATCATATTGATATCAAAATGATATCTAACTATGATATATATGATATCATGATATGAAACGTTTATGATATCAATTTGATATCAAAATGAAATCACGCATTGATATCATTCTGAACTCAAAACTTGATATTAAAATATGAGAAGTTTATGATATCGATATATTTTTTTTTAATTATTCACCTCCCCAAGGCCCGAGGGGGCCACTACAGACGAGGAGGCTACTCATTTTTTTTATTTTTTTGTAAATCGTGGTACAACCCTCTCTCAACTCTTTAACTCCGAAACACGAACCTTGACAAGCAAGGCCGCTGCGCGGAGAAATTAAGTTGAGCGCGGTACTTCCAGGGACATGATGGGAGTCGAACTCCCAACCTCTCACTTACAAAGCGAGCGCTCTTACCACTACACCACTGCCGCATTATATATATATCATATGATATACCGCGTTATATATATTATATGATATCAAAATGAAATCACGCATTGATATCATTCTGAACTCAATACTTGATATCAAAATGAGAACTTTACGCAAACTTGTTATAATAATTCCGGTATATTTATTTAATTTAATTATATTTTAATATTTTAATAAAAACATTTTATTATTATTATAACTAATTATATTTATTTAAATAATATTTTATAATTATTTTAAAAAATTTTCTATTTATTTAGTAAAGTTAAATTATATCTAAGTTTACTTATATATTAAGTTATATATAAGTAAACATTTTTGGTGAAATTGATAGATGTCATATTATATATTTAAATATAAATTCAATATTATATTACACAACGCTTCAAAAAAAGTCAATATTTAGTCATGTTTTTTTTTGAAAAAAATTATAGGCAGCAAATATTCAGGTAAAGCCTTAACAAAAAGAAATAAAGAAAATGTCCAAATTTGTAGATGGATCTTTGACATATATATATTCAGAGAGATTGAGGTATGGGTTCGGCTATAGCATTGCTTTAACTTTAGAATTGGGTTTTCGACAGATATACAGACTTGATCTAAAAGTCACTTTTTGAATGTTGCATTCTACTTCTTTTCCAAATAAAATTTAGATTTATTTACCGTCTGAAAACAATGCTGCGAGCTGAAAATAATAAACAAAAATATTGGCCACCAACAAAAATTTAAATTATTGCCTAAATATTAACAAAATAAAAATGATTTTTACCTTATCATCAAATTTGTCTTATATTTAGTTTTGTAATTTTTTTTTCTGATAAGAGTTAATTATTGCCATCACACAAGCTTTATTGCTTTGCAATTCAAATTGCAGTTATAAACCTAGAAAACCTAGAAAAAAAAACAAATAAATAAACATTATTATATCTCAGACTTATACAAAAGCATTGAAGAATGTTGCAAAATTAAATCAGTTTGTATAAGTTTACAGTAAAAGTTGAAAACTAGGCCTACCTTAGTATTCAAGTATTGAAGCTTAGTATTCAAAAAACACTAATAAGCAGTCCCCAAAAGTTTCTAAAAGATGTTATATAATTTAAATTCATTCAAAAAATTCAAAAAGTTCAAATGATTTGTTTTTTTTTAAATTTAAATATACAATTAGTAACTGTAAACAAGCTTGTGGGTCCAATGAAGTAAATATAAATAAACTTTGTTCTGAAAATTTATCAAGTGGTACTATATAATTGACAGTGCTGCCAATTATATAGCAACAAAGTTTAACAAATAATGATCTTCCTAAACTCTGGAAAAAAAGTCATAATAGAACATGTCATTGTACCACAACATAATTAAATAATAACACATTTGCCTATGTATATATTTATTTAACTTAGTTGATTGTAAATATTTTTAAATTTAATATTTTGGTATTGTATATTACTATTTTACCTAACATGAGCCATTGTCATAATTTCTTTGAACATTAGATTTTATAAAGCGTAATATCTTGAAATACACTGCAATTATAATCTAAAAAATTTTTTAAATATTAATTAATATTAAATTATTAGTTTTTCAATATATACAGCCAGATAAAAATATATAGAACACTAAAGATTTTTTTTTTTTAAATTCATATATATATATATATATATATATATATATATATATATATATATATATATATATATATATATATATATATATAATATATATATATATATATATATATATTATCTTATTCTAAATATTGCCCAAAATATTTAATCTGTAACAATTATAATGTAAAGTGTCCCTAAAATGGACTATATTATCACTATATTATCAAAAAGGGCTATATATATATATATATATATATATATATATATATATATATATATATATATATATATATATATATATATATATATATATATATATATATATATATATATATATATATATATATATATAGCCCTTTTTGATAATATAGTGATAATATAGTCCATTTTAGGGACACTTTACATTATAATTGTTACAGATTAAATATTTTGGGCAATATTTAGAATAAGATAATATATATATATATATTGTACACGAAAATTAATAAATTAATCAAAAGTATTTAAAAAAGTTGATTTCCTTCTGGACAAAACAAAAAGTGGAAGTCCACAAAATGTTGACCTGTATTTCGCTATCAATATTTTGTGGTGAACCCTTTGATGTCGATCACAGCCTTGCAATTTTGAGGCGTAGATTCAATCAGGTGATCAATGAAACTTTGTCGAATCAGTGCCCAGGTCTTTTGGATTTGTTCAAACAGTTGATCCTTATTAAGATCACCTTCACGATTAATTCTGCGGTTGATCTCCCACAGGTTCTCGATAGGGTTGAGATCCAGAGATTGAGGCGTTCAATATATCACTGATAGGTGGTTGTTTTGAAACCACTACTTGACTACTTATGCAGTGTGTTTTGAATCATTGTCTTGCTAAAAAACCTATTTTATTGGCATATTCCATTCAGCATGAGGTAACATAACTTCTTTCAGGATATTTTTATACATGAAACGGTCCATTTTTCCATAGATTCGATGTATTGGACCTAGACCGTTAGCAGAAAAACACCCACAGACCATTACATTGCCTCCACCATGCTTCACGGTCTTATAACAGTAACGTAAATCGAGGCGTTTTCCCGCTGGTCAACGTACATGGCAAATGCAATTGCTCCCAATGATGTTGAACTTTGATTCATCACTGAACAGGACAGTTCGCCATTTCTGCACATTTCAGTCAATAGGAGATGTAGCATACAGGAGTCTTTTCTTCTGGTTCTTTAATAAAATCAGCGGTTTCTTTGCAGGGTGTCGAGAAAACAATCCGGCTTCAACAGCACGTCGTCTGATTGTTTGGTCCGATACAGGCAACTCTAATTGCTTTTGTATCTCTACTGATGATATCCAGGGATCCTTCTTGACAAATCTGACAATCATAGAATCCTCTCTAGAAGTGGTGGAAGGCGGTCGTCCATCTTTGGTATCTGCTGCCAACTTCCCGGTAGAACTATGTTTGGAACATAGTCTTGATATGGTCCATTTTTTCACGCGATATTTATCACTAATACTTTTTTGTGACATTCCACTTATGTAATCACCAATAATTTTCTTTCTTAGTTGCAATCCAAGACTGTCAGGAGCCATTTTTGCACTTAAAGTCATAAAAATATTAAAAATAAACAATCACGCTTCTTAAGGCTTACTGTGTTACACTTGTGATGATATAATAATGCTCTGTGGAACACAACATCTTAGTTGGATGTGGACTGTATTTATGTAATGAAACACTTGTTGTATTTCACTTCTTGTATTGATGTTCTTTGATAAAACACTTTGATAAAACTCACTTTGATAAACTGTCTTAATAAAACTGACTGATTGACTTCCATATACTGACTGAATTATATCGGTTTACATGTCTCTTATATAGTAAAATGAACCTGTGTGAACCTGTTCTGGAAGATTCTAGATGCTTCTTTTTGATGCTTCTGGAAGCTCCTGGAAACTTCTGGATACTTCCTTTAATTATTAAAAAACTTCCATGACATTGACACGGAGAAAATGAAACAAACTAAAAAAAGTTGCACTTATTTTGTCCACTGCAAAAAGGCACTTGTCAACGAAATTCTGCCTGTGTGCTGTCAACTGTCAGCTGATTGCTGACATGTCATGGCATGCTATGACTCCAGACTCCTGAACTGTTTGCTGTAGTAGTATAGTTTGTTTCGTTTATATATATATATATATATATATATATATATATATATATATATATATATATATATATATATATATATATATATATATATATATAAATATATATATATATATATATATATATATAAATATATATATATATATATATATATATATATATATATATATATATATACATACATATATATATATATACATATATACATATATATATATATATATATATATATATATATATATATATATATATATATATATATATATATATATATATATATATATGTATATGTATATGTATATGTATATGTATATATATGTATATATATATATATATATATATATATATATATATAATATATATATATATATATATATATATATATATATATATATATATATATATATATATATATATATATATACTCTTATGACATTAGATACTATTTCATTAGAAGATGTATTTAACATTTAACTTAAAAGTTATACAAAACCAACACTTAAACAACACTTAAATACAAAAAAACATTTAATAAAAATTAAAAAAAATCATCCAGTCTCGAGGCAACAGCTTTTATCATTCTTTGCATTAAATTTTTTTTACAAAATGCTGCTCTTGATAATTTCTTTAAGTCACCCAGTATTCTGAGCTACTACTTGAGAAGAATATTCTATTATTCTTTTTATAACTGATATTATAAGCTAAATGATTTAAACAATGAAAGTTATAAATTAATTAATAGCTGATCAGAGTAGAACACTCTGGCATTGTTCTCAAAGCAACAAAGAAGTTCATGAACATAACCTTATTCAGCCAAATTATCTTTTCTGTAAAGTTTATGTTCAGTACAAGCTACACTTGCTACATTCTCTATCTATTTGATTTCTTTTTATATTAACAAAAAAAAAAAACTTGATTTCTTTTTATATTAACATAAGCATAGACTTTCTAGAGTTAAAAAAATTATTACTCTAATAAGTAATAAAATTAATAATTCTGTAATGTGTGATGTCACAATAACTAAAAAATTTTTGTTTTTAATTCTTTGAAAAAATTATGCGTTGGAAAAAAGTTGGGGGAAAGGGGTTGATTTTGTGATAATAGATATGCATGCAGTGGGAGGAGAAAGGGGCATAAAAAGCATACAGGTGTGTACAATAGAAAGGGGCTGCTTAATCAGTGATTTTACTGCATACATACTTTATGTATGTTCCCCTGAGATTTCCCCGTGAAATCTTTATAATTTTTTAAACTAGCTTACATCTGTAATTCACAAAACAACGTCACAACAAATGGAACAGTTTCACAAATATTGTCAATATGGTACTAGATTAGCCAGAGAAACATATTTGCACTTTTATAGATTTATGGATTGACGGTCTGTCAATGGTTAAAGACTAACTTCACAAAGTATTGCTTAGATCTCAAAATACCATCTTTAATTTTTTATTACTATCTTTAATCAAAATACCATCTTTTATCCTAAAATACGTATACTCACCAACTAAACCAATAAAGAAGCAATATGATGCAACTAAATGCAGTTTAAGAAAGATAAAAAATCACATTTAAGTAAAAATAAAATAACTGCAAAGAAATATCAATAGTAAAGTATTCAATTTAAAAATATTATTTTTTTTAATAAGTCTAACAAATGAAATATCTTGGAAGATTTACAAACCTAATTTTATAGTAACATCTAAGTTTTAAGGCATTTTCAATAGCGTCATAACTTGTATTATAAGATCTACACAAAAGTGATTAAAATGTAGTTACTCTTGTTAGAGTACTGAACATTTAACAGTCCATCGACTAGGTCTTCTCTAAATACCAGCATAATATTTTTATTACTTTCATAATTACTGCTTTTACTATTGGTGGCAAGTTCTTAAATCCTTTCTGTTGCATTTATAGATTATCAGTCCTAATAACTCCTATTTATAGGATTTAATTCCTATTATTATGGATTTTAGTCCTATTAAGTCCTTCTATTAAGTTCTATTAACTGTTGTTTAAGCAACCAGAATTTTTAACTTTAAAAAAAAAAATACTAAAATAACTCTAGAGCAGTTAGAGTATTTTTTAATAAAAATAGGTGATGTGGCATATTATCAAATTGATAATCAATATATTCTGCAACATATTCGTATTAAAAATAAGTCATCAAAAACATTAAATATTTTACTCATTAATTTTATTACTTTAAATGCAATTTAGTTTTTAATTTTTTTTAAATTGCATATAAAACAATATAACGATAAAACAAGTATTAAGTTTTATTTACTTGGTCTTACTATTTCTTAATACTTTTTCGCATACCTTTCAGCCATCTTGAAAATAATTTATGTTTTTTGTGAGGCGTTTTCCGGCAAAGAAGTATGAATGGACTGATCTCAAAATAATATTTTTTTTTTTTTTTTTTTTTTTGTTAAATAATTTTTTAATAATACAAATTTTAACATATTACAAATTTAGCGGCAGGACTTCTAGAAGATCATGTGGATCTTATCATGAAGCCCTTTACAATGCTTTTTAGTATCGAGTATAATATAATATAAATACGTAATATGATAATGAAGTTATAAAAATTCGTAAAATAACAAAGAATATGAAGTTTAACAAAACACAGTAATAAAAAGTAACAAAATACAAACCATTAAATACATAAGTTTGCAAAAAACTCATGGAAATATTCGTAAATAGTAAAACATAATACAATAAAGTATAATATATCAGTAATAAATTGATAAAAACTCAAAAATAGATAAAGATGTTTTCAATTGAAAAGATAATTTCTTTAATTTTGGTTTTGAATGAGAAGTAGTTTAGATTGATTGAAAAGTCAAAATTAGGTAAAACTATTTTGTTCCAAAGAAGAGGTCCACGATAGGACATACAAAATTCGTCGTATTTAGTTTTGCAAAAAGGAGCATTAAGATTGTTGTCAATTCGTAAATTATATTTGTTTTTCGGTTTTAAAGAATAAAGATATTGAAATACCTGTGGAGATAAATTTTCTTTACACTTGAACATAAAGCATAAAATATTAAAAATATTAAGTTGATAAACATTCAAAGCTTTCATATTTTTAAGAAGTGGTGCAGAGTGAGTAAGACGATTTTTAAAATTAATTGCGCGAGCTGCGTGTTTCTGATGATTAAAAAGAGTTTTAAGTTTTGTCTTTTGAGTGCTTCCCCATATAATATTTGCATAGTTTATATGACAGTGAACAAATGAATAGTACAGTTGAGTCAGCTGCCGTTTATTTAGTATGTTTCTAGCTTTATAAAGAATACCGATGCATTTGGAAACTCTAGAAGAGATAATGTTAATGTGATGTTTCCAAGTTAAATTTTCATCAATATAGATTCCTAGAAACTTTGTTACTTTTTCTCTTTTTATCATTACATTGTCAATATATAGTTCAGGTAACAAATGTGGTATTCTATGTTTTTTATAGAGTGGATAAAAAAGTGTCCATTTAGTTTTAGCTGTGTTGAGAGATAACCTATTTATTTTGAACCAATCAGAAACTTTTTTTAATTCATTTGTCATGTTTTTGAAAAGAATATTAATATTTTTATGAGATAGAAATAAATTTGTGTCGTCTGCAAAGATTATTTTTGTTAGGCTTGAAGTTTTATGAAGATCATTTAGATATATTATAAAGAGAAGAGGTCCAAGTATGGAGCCTTGTGGAACACCACACGTTACATTCATTAACACTTGAGACGAGGATTCTTTATTATAAACATTTTGCTTACGATTTGTAAGATAGCTTTTTAACCAATTGAGGGTGTTATCTTTTATTCCATATGATAATAATTTTTTTATTAGAATTTGATGGTTGACGGTATCAAAAGCTTTAGATAAGTCAATAAATACTCCTAATGTAAAATGAAATTTTTTAAAAGATTCTGAGATGTCGCGCGTAAGTTGGAGAATAGCGTGTTCTGTTGAATTGTTTTTTTTAAAACCAAATTGGTTTTCGTATAAGATTTTATTATTAATTAGATGGTCGTAAATTCGATTGAACATTATTTTTTCTAGTATTTTTGAAAAGACTGAAAGAACTGAAATAGGGCGATAATTATTTATGTTTGTATGATCTCCTGTCTTGAAGACAGGAAATACTTTAGCCATTTTTAGACAGTCTGGAAACATTCCTTGACTGATGGATGCTCTAAAGATTTTAAAAATAATGTGTTTTATAACATCACAAAAATCTATTATAATATTCACATTAATATCATCATACCCAGTTGTTTTATTTCTTTTTAATGAACTAAAGGCAATTTCAAATTCATCATAAGTTAGCTCAGTAAAGTGAAAACTTGATGATTTGATTTTTTGATGATTGATTTTTATAATAGTAATATATTTATTATTATTTTGAGATCAGTGGTATGAATGTAAGCAACTTGAATTTCACATCATAGGATGACAATTTCTTGATATCATAATGATATCATAATATGAGTTCATAAATCAAAACTTAGCATTTTGATATAAAAAGAGAAAAATTAAACTTTTACTGTGCTTTGTAACTATTATATGAAATTCTGCTATAAATTAAGTTTATTTCTCAAAGTTACAATATCACTATGATATCATTGTGATATCATTATACGATATCATAGCCTGAGAAGGTTTTGATATCATTCTGATATCACATTGATATCGCGTCTTGACTGGCAAAGATTTGAAATTTGATGATCATATTAAAAGTCTGTCTGGAAAAGCGAATAGTAAATGCTTTGCTCTTCACGAATAAGGAGCTTCTCATCAGTAAATCAAGCAACTGTTTTATTCAATGCTTTTATACTGATTTGGATGTTTTGTTCGAAGTATAATAATAACCTAATAAATAAAATTCATCAAAAAGGACTTTGCATTGTATATAAAAGATTTGGTAGAAAATACCCCAAGTTTCCACCTTAGAAATTTTTTAATTTAGAAGGTTTTTGTTAACTGAAGTTTTTAAATCTATAAATGGTTTAAATCCAGATATTATGTTAGATCTTTTTTTAAAAAAAATCCTTGCCGTTAAGTCTTCGATGTAGTAAAAAATTAGTACTCCCACCCATTTCTAAACATAAGTTCATAATAAGTAACATATAATGAGCAACCTCGCTATGGAACTCCCTAGACAATGAAACTATGTCAATAAATTATCTAAAGATGTTCAAAAAAAGTATTTTAAAATGGCACGGAAAATCTTGTTTTTGTAAAATCTGTCAAAAATAACTTTTTTTATTTTTTACGTCGAAAATAACCAACTTAATGTATTTATTGACATTTATATTATTTATAATTTAAGCTATTTTTATTTTATTTTATTTATTTTTTATTCACGATATGTATGTTTGTTTGCATTGTCTTATACAGTTTAGTGAGTTGATTTTAATTAGTTTTTGTTAATTATAAAACTATTGTAAACAATCAGCTGAAAAAAATTTTTTAAATAAATAAAAAATGCATTAAAGTGTATGATATTGATGATCATTTTCTTAACTAAGGTGGTTCAGTTTTAAAAAATACTTAATGTAAAAAGTCCAGCTGAAGAAAAATGATATAACTTATCATCCAATGTCATCAGTTAATGATTTACGATTCAATGATTTAATTGAGCTTTCTGAAATGTTTAAGTCAACATCGATTTAAGGAAAGAGAATTAAAAGTATAACCATGAATGCATTATATCAACCAAGCAATGCATTATATCAAACTTGTAATGGTTTAGTTGAAATAAGTTAAACATTTGTTAAACAATACTCACATGTAATTACAACTTTGAAACAAGCAGTTTTAGAACTGCTTGTTTCAAGGCTTTGTTTTTTTACTAATAATGATAGTTTTCCATTTTGTTGAAGTCTTCTACCAATATATTGACGTACACTATTATAGGATAAGGGTCGGAATAAAATGAAAAGATTTAGAAGCGAATTTATACTTTATTCTTTTTTTTTTTTTAACTAAACAGCTTGGTTTTTATCTTGGCTTTTTAAACGTTGCATTTAATTAATAGTGTGAATTAATTTAACAACAATTTTCTATTATAAAGTTTACTATTTTAGGTGTATATAAAACATTAAAATCGCTTTTATTATAAAAATTTAAATCGTTGTCGAATGCTTATATCGCTAAAATATAAGGACAATATTGACTTCAGAAAGAAGCAATTTTTCGCTCCAACGACCCAGAACCCTATGATATGGGGACAAAACAAGTTTCTGCTCTAAAAAATTTTCGTGATAATCATTTTCTGGATCAAAATGTAAAGGAGAGCATAGGTCTAGATAAGCTAATCTTTGCATAGAAAACTAAAAGTCAAAACGTCCCATTTTAGGTGTCATGTATATCTAAGAATTGTGTTATGTATATCTAAAATCTTTTTCCAAGAATTTTCATTCTAGTCAAGAAAAACGAACGCCCTCAGCATCCGCATTATTAAGACCGCGGCGAGCAGGCTTATTATTTTAATGGTGAAGAGATCTAAATAACTTTTACGAATATTTTTATAGCTCAGTATAAGGAGTCGTCTATAGAGCAAATACGCTTTTTTATATCTATACACCTCACCATAGATCATCCAGGTCGTGTTTTGAAAATTGGAAAAATCATTAGGGTAAAATATCCGGAATATATTTTCACTTAGGTTCCTCCTAATATCGCTTTGAGCTGAATCGTTTAATTTTTAAGTTTTGTTAATTTTGTTAATAAGTAAAAAAGCCTTAAAACAAATTTATTACAAAGATATATTTCTTAACTTGTATATATGGTAAACATTTTTGATATCCGGAAAAACTAAAAGTTAAGAAAAATATCCAGAAAGATTATCTGCACACTCTTTGCAATACGCTTTTTTAAACAGTATAACATTTTATATCTTTTTTTAATTAACTCTGCTCTCTAACCTTATATACGCTATTTGCAGACCCCTCTTTCCCTCCAAGCGAACGAACTTTATGGACGATTACTGATTTAAAAGTTTCAACACTTTAATTTAAAATGCGGAAAAGTATATATAATTATATAGTCAGTTTCATAAAAGTGCACATATGACAGTAACTCGCATAAAATAGGTATGGGGATATAATTACAGAAGGCAAAACCAGCTATAAAAATGTTAAAATGGAAATAAAAACACGTAACAAAATTCAAAGATATTATCTATTGACCAGCCACAAGACTAAATTACAGATTTTAGAAAATATTTATTCCATAAATTTGATATCGTTTGGATAGTTTTCCTATGGAAAGTAGAAGTTTTTGAAAACACATTATAAAAATAATATGGATAATTAGAAGGTGGTCACTTTTTCTTTCCAGCAGCAACACCTGCTTTTTGAGCTGATTTAGTAACTTTTCCTGCAACAGCAGCGGTTTTATCAACCTCCTTGATAACACCAACAGCAACAGTTTGTCTCATGTCACGAACTGCAAATCGTCCTAATGGTGGATATTGAGCAAATGACTCGACACACATTGGTTTTGAAGGAATCAAGTTGATAATAGCAGCATCTCCAGATTTGACCATTTTAGGTTCAGTCTCAATAACTTTACCTGATCGACGATCAATTTTTTCTAATAACTCGGCAAACTTGCAAGCAATGTGAGCAGTGTGACAATCCAAAACTGGTTGATATCCAGCGTGAATCTCACCAGGATGATTAAGAATGATAACCTAAATTACAAAATTTTGTTAAGCAAAAACATATATATAAACACAACTGCAATCTCTAAGAATTATATTTATCGTTATATCTCCTGTATATTGCTAGAATTAAATTTAACATATAATTAAAGGTCTTAAACTTTCTAAAACATTTTCTATAATTTAGTGTAATATAGTATAATATAGTGTTCAAATAATTTCTTTAGAATTTCTACTGTAGCAAATTAAAAGAAATACCAAGTAAAGAAAGTCAAGAACAAATTCTCATTACTGTATATCCATTTATAGTATATTTGTTACTATACAACTAGATTAAGACTACATTACAATACAAAAAGTTATTAATAAATACCTGGGCTTTGAATGAAGCAGCTTCAATAGCAGGGTCATTTTTGCTGTCAGAAGCAACCATACCACGTCTGATGTCTTTAATTGAGACGTTTTTAACATTGAAACCGACATTGTCTCCTGGAAGAGCCTCTGGAAGAGATTCGTGGTGCATCTCAACTGATTTTACTTCAGTAGAAAGGTTTGCAGGGCAAAATGTGACAACCATTCCAGGTTTTAAAATACCAGTCTCAACACGACCAACGGGTACTGTTCCAATACCACCAATTTTGTAGACATCTTGAAGAGGAAGGCGAAGTGGTTTAGAACTTGGTCTAGCTGGGAGTGGAATGTTATCAAGAGCTTCAAGGAGAGTTTTACCAGTGTGTTTACCAGTATCTTTGTATTCTACTTCCCACCCTTTGTACCAGGACATATTTGGGGATGGTTCAATCATATTATCTCCGTGCCATCCTGAGACTGGAAGCACTGGAACAGTCTTAGGATCATAACCAACTTTTTTAACGTAGGCACTAATTTCTTTTTTGATTTCATTAAATCGAGCTTCGCTGTATGGTGGTTCAGTGTTGTCAATTTTATTAACAGCAACAATCATTTGTTTAACACCTTAAAAATAGAAGACAAAATTGAAATTATTATACATAAATTTAAGTATAAAATATATAAGTAATACATATTATTAAGTAAGGTATAAATTATACAAGGTATATAATAAATGTATGAAATATTTAAGATATATAACAATATATAAGGTATATAATAATAAATAAATATATAAAGTATATAATAAATATGAAAGTTAAGCCTAAAATTTATATTCAAAATATTGATATAAATATAATTTAATGAATAACTGTGAAAACTTTATAATGGATATAACAATTTTATTAACAACTTGTTTTACAATTTGTGTACACTTAAACCAAGTTTATAATTCATAAAGTTTTGAATTTAACTTATTAAAAACAAAAATATTTGTTTGAATGGGTGCAATTTACTATTTAAAGAGTTATTCAAGTAAGTTAAATATATCGACTTACCTAGAGTAAAAGCCAAAAGAGCATGTTCTCTGGTTTGACCATTTTTAGAAATACCAGCTTCAAACTCTCCAGTACTGCTTGCAACGATGAGTACGGCACAATCAGCCTGAGAGGTACCTGTGATCATGTTTTTAATGAAGTCACGATGTCCAGGAGCATCAATAATAGTAACTACGTATTTAGTAGTTTCAAACTTCCATAGTGCAATATCGATGGTGATACCTCTTTCACGTTCTGCCTTAAGTTTATCTAAAACCCAGGCATATTTGAATGATCCTTTTCCCATTTCCTGGGCTTCTTTCTCGAATTTTTCGATTTGTCGTTTGTCGATACCACCACATTTGTAAATCATGTGGCCAGTACTTGTTGATTTTCCTGAGTCGACATGTCCGATGACAACGATGTTGATGTGAGGCTTCACTTTGTTAGACATTTGTCACTATTGCTCCTGATCTAGATTAATAGTATAGTAAATTATAGTTATTATTAGCAATTGCCAAGCCACTTTTAAAAAATTGAAACTAACACTTTGGTATGTGGATTGAATAAATAAAACGTTTAAATGACAAAATTCAAATCAATGACGCAAAAAACAAACTTAATTGACGATATATGAAATTTGTAAAACATATTACGAAATTTATAAAAAAATATGACAATGATATTTAAAGATAACAATTCTTGCTTTTACGCCATTTAAAACGAGCAGTACCTCGATATAGACGAAATTCGCTCGGCTTAAAAGGACGTAGCATGCAAGATCGCGGCTTTATACATTTGAGGCCTGAGAATGAACTGACGTAACAACTTCTATTTAAAGTAATGCAATTGACAAAACGACAGTTTAATTTTCCGTTTAAAGATTATTTTACATTAACAACGTATTTACTTTATAAAAACTTTAAAAGCCGTAACATTGTTTTTGCTTTAACTTATTTTTCTTCACAAGATACGTAAATACATTTATATAAATAAATTTCATGCAGATTAATAAAATTTAAAAACTTTGCAGTCCTTATAAATATTTTAATTTTTTTTACATTATACATGCTTTTTAGAGGGTGTGTGTTCAGTTTAATATACAAAGTAATAACGAAAACCCAAGTGATCGTTATTACTTTGTATATTAAACTGAACTTATGCGCTATCTTCGAATTAAACTTTGGATTCCTCGATTAATAAGATTATTTTGGCAAAACAATATATTTTGATAATGTAATTTATGTAAATAAACTTATGTTTCTGCTTTTTTAATATATTTTTCGGTTAAATGTTTAAAAATTATTATTTTAAAAAAACTTTCTATATATACTGTTTGATGATTAAACGATTACTAGAAGTACCGCGCTCAACATTTTTTACCCGCGGTGGTCTTATTTAACAAAGTTTGTGTTTTGGAGTTTAGAGTTGAGAAAGAATTTTTTAAACAAATAAATATACAATTTATATTCACTTAACGTCAGGGACAGATCCACCAAGGTGGGGAGGGCGATAACCAATTCCCACTCCTTTGAATTTTTTAAAAACAGTTTTTCTTTGTATATCTATGTGTTTAACTCGGTATATTGTTTGAAAAAGAAGGAAGTAAATAAGGTCTAATAGGCAGGCTGTGTAAAAATAATATGAAGTTTTAATAAAACTGTAAGATGTGAACTTTAAATCGGAATATTGAGGCATCAATATATTATATTATTTCATAACTACATAGATTAAGACATTACACACTAAAAAAAAGGTAGAAGTTTCTACCTTAGGGTAGGATATGTGAAACCCTTAGTAAGGTATAATTTTCTATTTTTCTTTAAATTGAAAAACATATCAAAAAGAATGATTTGACATACAATTTTCCATCTTCATAGTATAATTTTCACCTTATAAGGTAGAAATTTGTACATCATTAAGAGTATATCACATATCCTACCCTATGGTAAAAATTTCAACCTTTTTTTTTAGTATGTACAAGACTGCAATTCAAAGTAATCTTAGCGTAGATTTGGGTAATCTTAGGGTAGATTAGGGTAATCTTAGGGTAGATTAGGGTAATCTTAGGGTAGATTAGGGTAATATGAGCACCTTAAGCGAAAATTGAAATATTTTCAAAAATAACTATGCTGAATCCAAATTTTTGCGAATAAACACTTTTTCGATATCCCTACTCATGATCCACTTAGATATTTGGACACCCGAAATTTTTTCTTAAAAACATAGACGTTTTAAAAAATTACCCAGACACTTGGTAATATGAGCACTTTAAATTAGCTCAAAAAAATAACATTAAGTAAAAAAATACTAACCTGACAATTAGACCTAATTTATGGAATACAATGATCCCGTTATTAACAAAACTTATCATTAAAAGATTATACTTTTAAGCCACTTTTTGCTAAAACAGTAGCACTATGTTTTCCGAAAAAAAAAATATTAGTTCGTTTTTTATTAAATTTTATTCACTCAAACCTTAGAACAATAAAATTTTTTGAATTTAAATTACAAAGAAACATTTAGTATTGTTAAAATAATAAAATTTTTTACTATGTTTTGTTTTTATTCAAAAAGCAATTAAAACCACTGCTATTTTAGGACTTTAAACTAGGAAAAACACTGGGTAGTTTGAACATGCTCATATTACACAAAAATGGCATCTTAAAATAAAGTTAAAACTAAATGTTTCTATGCATTGTTTTTCAAACAAAAATGGATTGGATTTTTAGCTAGCATATTTTTTTTATGAAAAAATTAATTTCATTATTTTAGCACCGAAATTTCGCGCCACAGATTTATTCATGTGTGTTGATATTATTTTAACTACGCAAATAATTTAACAGCGTTTTAATTAGATGATAGCCGCTAATTACTGCATATAAATTTACACTAATTGTACTGATTTCTGTTATCACCACATAAAGTCGATTCAAAAAATTCAAAACGATTTTAACTTCATTGCTTACATCTAAGAAATCTTTAAGTATGCTCATATTACTAAGGTGCTCATATTACCCTAATCTACCCTAATCAAAAATGTATTATGTGTTGTGGTTTATCAGCGCACAAACCATAATTCTTTTTAATCATAATCAATAATTCATAATCAAACTTCCCAGTAAGAAAAAGACGTCGAGCCGTTGTTGTAATTTGGTCGCAACGCAAGTAACGCAAGTAAACTAAATTCTAACGATGTTCCAACGTCGGTATAACGGCGTTATTCTAAATTTTGCTATCAAACGTTGGAACAACGTCGGAAAAACGTTATCATCTAACGTTTTAAATGTTAACATCAAAATGACGTTGGAACAACGTTGGTTGTTTAACGTAAAACCAACGTTACTTTGATTAACGACTTTAGAACAACGTTCGTTTTTTTAAGTTTTTACTTTTGACATCAAAGCAACGTAAGCATTCTAAACGTAAACACAACTTGATTTTACTAAACAAAAAAAAACTTGCGCATTTTAAAATGGTTGAAAAACCGTTTTCGAAAAAAATGTTATTTTTAATCTGGGTTTTTAGGCATTATAACCTGTAATACAAATATTTATTACATTATCTCTTTATTTTATTTATCATTAAGCGATAATAAAATTGGTATACAACACGATTTTACAGTCGAGTTATATATCAATTTTATTATCGCTTTAATGATAAATAAAAGCTACTAAAACCTTATTTGATTTTCAAAAGTTGTTAAATTTTTGTTATGCTTTTGTATACTTTGTATATTTAACATTACTTATATAGTAAAAGTTTTTAACATATATAATATTTCACAAAATATTTTATTTACACATAAATAATGCAATGGTTTATTAAATACCCCTTATTAAACTATTTAATCGTTTAATTAAGTGTCAATAAAAATACATGATATGATAAAAATACAAAATACATAATGCAATTGCAGTATTTTTTATGAAAGTCTTTACTTGCTTTAAAATAATCATATCCACAAGAGCAGTTTATGGATCGCTAAAAAGATTTTTCATAAATGAAACTGAGTTTTCATATTAAATCAAGAAATTTGGACAATAATAGTTAGTCCCAAAAAATCCTTCCAAAATTCTTTGCAATAGTTAGTTGATAATTGCAAACAACTTCACCAAAAGTCCATAGGTATTTATTGTAAGCTTTTGATGGATCTAAATGCTTTTTCGTAATACTCAATAATGAATTATTTTTATCTAAATGAAGCATGATTTAAGACTAACTACGACTCTTTTTTAGTGAAGGCATCGGTCCCTTAAATGAAGGTAAAAAACATTTACTCCGTTAGATTAAAGTATCATTATTGGCTCTCAATAAAAAATTTGTGGCCTTTAACCGGGCTTTTTGGGTATTCAACGATAGAATAAAAACCCAAGCATAGCAGCTAGAGCAGGTCCAAGAGCAATTACAATGCGTTTCGAAATCTCGTATTTCGGAATATGACAATACAATTTCATAAAAGAACGAAAAAGCGATTTTAAGAGGATTCAAAGATGGAATCAGGGGTAAAAAAATATATGTATATAGATAGTTTTCATGAGAGGTCAGTGCAAGTTTTTATTTTTATTTTGTCCTTGGGTTGAAAGCATGTTTGAAAATAAAAAATAGAAAGAAAATTTATTTATATTCTTTATTCACCGGTAACGCAAACTGAAATGCTGGTTCATGTCAAATGTGCTTTTATACTTGCATAGACTTCTTTTATACTTACATGGACTTCTTTTATACTTGCATAGACTTCTTTTAGACAATAAAGTTTCTATCACAGGCAAAGATACTTTGAAGTTGTGTTTTCAACAAAGTTCTCAATTCGTATTGAACACTGAGCATTCTTCTTTAACATTTGCTAGAGTTGTCTCCGTTGTTTTTTCTCTACAGTATTTCTAGAACTTTCAACAAATCTTTTGAACTTTGAAGACACTTCCAAAACGTTTTTCAACTATCCCAAAGAAACCCATACAAGGTTAAAAGCTATTCTAGCAGACTTTTCAATAATATTAGAAAGAATATTGTATAAATGAACAAACTAGCGAAGATAAACTTTTTTATGATCGTTTTTCAGAGAAACGATTCTGCTAAACACGCTGTTTTCCAAGTTACACGCAGTATTGCTGACTCCTTTAAGAAATCTTTATTTCAAATTGAGATTTTTTGTCAAATTGAGAGGAAATTGATTTGATTTGAAAAATTAATTAACTTAAAGTAAAATTACTCGTGGTAAATTTTTGAATAAATTGTAAAATGGCAAGTTTATGTAAAAAATAATGGTAATAGTTAGATCACTTTTAAATGTTTAAATTTTAAAGTTTTTAGCAATTGTTATTTCATAAATATAGTTTATATTTACTTATGTATTTACACCATATAGTTAAAAATTGGAAAAAAAAATTGGAAAGCCACTTTCTAAGTTAAAAATTGGACTTTCTAAGTTTAAACTGATCAGTTGGTTACTAAAAATCTAATGAGCGCAATTTTATGATTAACCGAATGAAAAGTTTGTTTTATCTAAAGTGGATTAAAAGCGATAGATGAAATGAACTCATTCATTAAGAACGAATAATGTTAAAAAAAAACAAAAACAGAAATTTAAAAGCAACTAAAATGAATATAATTACACGATGACTATAGATTATGAAAAAATAAAAATTAATTAAAAAGAAAATATGAATTTGATTTACAAACTGACTTAAAATTTTAGAAATGTTTTACTGAAAAGTCACCTCACTCAAGTGGTGACTTTCTCAACATATCGTAACTCCAGAAAATATCCAAAAAGCACACTTGATCTTATTATCACGGATGACCCAAACAGAACTTAATTTTGCCGAGTTCTTTAAAAAAAATTGAGCTATTATTTATCCTAACTTGATTTAGATTTTTATAAATTAGGATTTTCTAGATATTTTAACAAATTCTTTACAGATTAAGAAACTACCTTAATTTATTAAATTAAGAAAAAAAATTAATTTTACTAATGCTTATTAAAATTTTCATAACATATTAAAAGAAATTTCGTTACTATTTTACAAAAATAATAATAATTGACTATATTGTAGAACTATAATTTTTCTAAAATAAAGATTTACTTAATTTTTAAAATATTGATTCTAAGTTAATTTACTGTCATAATCATTGATTTTGTATGCAAAATATTATTAAGAACTTCTGGGAGCACCTTAATAACTACAAAAAAAAAAAGAAAAAAAAAAAAACTAATCGAGGAACTAGAAAAGAGTTAGGCCACACCATTTATTGAAAAGAAAGAACGTAGAACATGCTAAAGGTTAAGGAGGTAGTTAAAAATAAAAGAATACTCTGGAGCAAATATCTTAATGCAGGCAATAATTCTCGCAAAACAATTAAAAAATAACATCGAGTTGCATTTAAAAACGTGACTAAGGTAATCCAATCAGCAAACAAAGAATATGAAAAAGGAATTGCGAATGATTTAAATGAGACCCTAAACTCTCATGAACATGTAGACATAAGCAAATGACAAACGAGCCAATAAGATCTCTAGAAGATAATAATAAAATTAAGATAAAATTACAACGAACAGAGAAGAAATTGCCCACATAATAAATATTTACAACCGGTATTCAGATACGGACAAACAAATGCCAGAAATAAAAAGTCAAACAGAAGCCGAAAATGAATGAATTCTCAATAAAACAATCAGATGTCCAAGAAAAGCTCAAAAACCTGATTGAATTGAAATACAAAAGTTACGAATTTAATTGTATGACCAGTTTAGACCATAATTGTACCCCGAATTTAACTGAAAGATGAATTTGGATTTTGAAAACACACTTAATTGAAAGGGGAATTCTGAGTTTTATATCAAACTTTAATTAACTTATTATGCATTAATAATATTATTGACTCTGTAAGAAAAATCTATTTTTAATGTTTTTTTGTTTTTTTTTACCGAGTTCATGCTCCCATCACTTCAGTCAATGAAGCTACTTTTTTAAAATAGTAATTACAACCCTCTCTCAACTCTTTAACTCCGAAACACGATCCTTAACGAACAAGGGTGCTGCGTGGAAAAGCAGGTTGATATACATGAAAGATCAAATATATTTTATAATTATTTTTCTTTTTTTAATTGAAAAAAATTAATAACTTTTGAATTTAACTGAAAGTTAAATAAAATTTTGTAATTGTTACCGAATTTAACTAAAAGCCGAACTTTTATTTCAAATTCCATTCCGGAAACCGAAGCAAATTTCGTCCTTTAGTAAACTTCGTAATCCGAATTTTAACGAATATTCACCGATCTTTATTTTGAATCAATTTCGTTTTGGTTTAGTACTTTTTAGATTATTTTAACTCTATAAGTTTGATAAATTATTTTAAATAAAACAAAATAAAAGACAACTAACTTAACTTTTTGAAACTAATTTATTTGTATCAATCTTTTACAATTAGCTTCTAGATAAAATGTTAAATTAAAGCACACACCGCGTGATTTCGCAAAAATACCCTAACAAAATTTGCCCGGTTTTAAAAAAAGGGTCAAAAATTAAAAAAAAGAAGGTGTTTTTAATAAGTTTTCAACAATTTCTTTTATATTAGCCATCTCAAAAAGAGTGGTTTCAAAAAACTGAAATAAAAATAACTTCAACTAAAAAACTCTGAAAGCAAGCGTTTTTAAAGTGTTTTTTTTTTTTTTTAAATTGTTGTTAACCAGATCCAAATAAACTTTTCCCCAAATTTCTCACTCCCGTTTAGGCCGAGCAATAAAGAACCATTTATTAAAAACAAAAAGAAAATTTTATCTTACAATAACGATTTTATAAATCAATATACATTATTGCAAAAACATAAAAATAGTTAAAAATTGTTTTTGTTTTAAATTCAGTTACAAATTTTTCGACATACATGTTTACACAGCATACATTTATATTATACCTGATCATTTTTTGCTTTAAAATGTTCTATTCTCAGTTAACATGAGTTTTTACAGCTTCAATATACGTTGCAATATATGCGTCACCTGTTATTAATACAAGAAAAAGCCACAGCGGTATAAACACAAAAACATATGACAATTTAATAAATCCATCTAGTTTTGCACAAAGTGTCAAAGCAAAAGAAATTTTTAAGGAAAATAACAATAGCAGCCAAAATTTACGCGAAGTCGTAAAACAATTGAAATATGTATTATTTCGACGACTTATTTGACAAAACAGTGACAAAACCAAAAATAAAACAGCAAATAAGTCATAAACCCACATAGGAACAAATATAATGTACCATGACCAGTCTTTTCCAGCGCTTCCATCAAGTTTTATAACAATCGCAAGCAAAAAAAGCGAAACAAACGCCCAAAAGATTGAAACACGTAAGAGAAAACCCATTATTAAAACGTTTCTGATCTAAAAATGACTATGTTTCAAAATCTTTTTTTGTTCTTGAAACAATTTCGAATAACTTATCTATGTCTTCTTCTTGTTGTGTAAACTTGTCGTACTGAAAAGTGACAACAGGTGTTTGAGTTACAGTGGAGTAAGCTGGTAGCAGCAGTCTAATGAAAAAAACATCCATTTAGAAATGTCGATAACAAGACAAAAAAATATTAAAGCACAAAAATATAAAATAAAATGAATATTACCTAATTTGCTTTAAATTCGTTTCTAATGCCTTTTCTATTTCACTCTTAAAAAAACCTCATCAAATTAACATAAAACAAACATTTTCTAGAAAAATAACACTCTAAAAATATTTTATTTCTGATTGTTAACATTTTAACAAAGCTATTATTTTAAATACAAATTTATATACGTTTTGAATATTATTTTATATACGTTTTAAATATTACTTTATATACCCATTTATTATACCTTTTTCTCCAAATTTCCTTCGAATTGCGGACACTTCCAGATTACGTTTGCAGAGCAGAGACTTGGTCCAACTTCCACCTTTATATTATAAATAATATTTTTATAGGTATTCAAAAACTAAAACAACTAACAGGTTCAAATTAAAAAAGAAACCACAAAATTAATTCGTCACTAGAATGACCATTAATCAGAAGCATATTTTATCGGGTGACAAGAAAAATTAACAAAAAACAACCATTGAGTAATTTGCATTTTAATGGTTTTTACCTACTGAGTTCAATGTTTTGAATTTAGTGATACTTGCTTTTTGAAATTCCGTAAAATTAATCCACCTATGGATATGATGACTTTTTACTGACAAAGTTGTTGGTATTTTAATGTGCTTAATGTAAAAAAACATTTTTCTTATCAGTTTGAAATTTAGTTTTGGTTGGTTACTACTAATGTTAATGATTAAATCGGTTCAATTTATTTCATATAAGTTTCTCTACTTATTCGAATTTTAATAAATGTTTAAGTATAATACAATCTTATTGGTTGTTTATTAAATATAATATAATATTATTGGTTGTTTCTTAAATATAACAATCTTTTTGGTTGTTCATTAAAAGTTAAGACTCGTTATAATTAAACACTTCTATCTACCCGATAGTATGTTGCCCTTTCCAAAGCTGCTTTGCACTTGCGAAAATATTTTTTAAGTCTTACAATGTATGTAAAAATTTATTAAGTTTAACTGAAAAAACCTTTTACAAAAAAAAAGCAATTTCTTAAGTAACTGTTTTGAAAAGTTTCGTAAGTGACATAAAACACTAAATTTTTAAAGAAAACATACTAAACAAAAATTTTCACAAATACTTTTAGAAAGTTGTTTGTTATTTAGTTATTTATTTGTTGAAGATGTATTTATAATTTTATAAATAAAGTCTTTCCCTTTCACAACTTTTACAACTATTTTTAGGCAAAAATTTTAATTGGTTTAATAAAATAACAAATAAAAAATTAAATTTTGAAAAACTGGAAAAATTATTTTACTGAAAAAATAATAAGACTGGCATATTCACAACAAAATTCTGAAAGTTAAAAGACTGTATTCAAATAATAATAAATATTTTCGCAATACATAAAATCTATTTTCGCAACATGCAATCAGGTAGATGTGTAAGGACGAGTTTCCACTTACAGGAAATTTTTCGCAGAATTAAACGGAAAAGAAAATCATCTAATTATGTCACAAAAAAAATTTAGGTCACGATTTTTATGTTATGCGATTTGATTATCTATTCCGTTCCGCAGAAAATTTCCTGAAAGAGGAAATCCGCCTTAATTTTGACAAGTCTTGACTTTTGCTCAGAAATTTGTTGCGAATCAACCAGTCTTATTATTTGGTAAAATTTTTTTTCCATTGTTTCGAAATTTAGTTTTTTATTAGTTAATTTATTATAACAATTAAATATTTTGCTTAAAAATTACCAAACAAACAAAAAAATATATATTTTTAAAAAACGTTTTACACATTAGGCATATAAAAGTGAATCTAAACTAATCTTAATTTTTTAAAACTTATTTTAAAAAATTTTCGTATTTTTATCACAGCGTTCTGAAGTCTTTAGTAAAATATAAGAATTTATTATTTTACCTTCACCACTTCAATAGTGCCGCTTTGCAGTGGTTCTGGCAATTCCGTTGATAAAAACAAACTCTCAACAGCAGTCTTAACAATCTCAGCATAAGCACTTTGTTTTGGACTTTTTTCATATGAGTAACTTTTAGTTTCTTCTTCGCCCAAATCAAAAAAATTTATTAAAGTTCCGTCGACTAGCACAGAATCTAAAAAGAAACATTTGAAACAGAAATTATTGCATTAAATACGATTGTAGACTGTAAAACTAAGGTGTAAGGGGTAAAGGTTGCAAAATTTTTTGAACATATACTTATTTATAAATACATTATTAAATATACTTTAAAATTCTGGCAAAAAAACTGTTTACGTTATAAAACGTACAAAAGTAGACTGCATAAATTATAAAATATACAAAAGTACATGTATTTACATGTATTCATGTACAAAAGTAGATTGCATGTATTAATGTAAAAATATAAAATATACAAAAGTAGATTGCATGTATTCATGTAAATGAATGGAATTGCCAGTGGCTGAAATTTGATTAAAGCTGAGTAAAATCTAATAACAAAAATAATCATGAATAAAAACTATTTACAATGTTTTAAAAACGTGATTAGTTTGATTAAAGCTGAGTAGAATCTTATAACAAAAATAATCATGAACAAAAACTATTTACAATTTTTTAAAAACGTAAACTGTCTTACAATTTTTTTTTTTAGAATATTTTTCAAATTTTTAAGTTACATTTTTAAACAAAAAATCTTTTCATGCAATTTAATGTTAAACTGAATGACCAAATTTGTTAATCAATAAAAAAGTTAAGCCACAATTCAGGTCTCAAGCCAAGTCTCAAGTCAAATCTTAGGTCGTTTACAAAACTTTTTTAGCAAAGGTTAAACATTTTTATATATTTTAAATTTTGTATAGTACCATAACTATTTTATTGTATCACCTTTTATTCTGTGTCCAACAAACATCTGGTTAAAAAAATATTAAATAAACCTCTAAAAAGATCACTTACTTGTATTTAGTTTATAATAAATGTACAAATTTACACTTTAATTTTTTTTTATTTTTTGTCTATAAAAAATGAGACTTGAATATTTAATAACATACATGTTACAATCATATGCCCCCCCCCTAACCCTTGGTGTTTACCAGGTCATGATTTTATTATGATACTACTATTTAAAGAATTAAAGGTCTTTACAAGGTCATCCTACCCAAATCTAAAATAAGGTTTTTTTTAGAATTTTTTTTCCTCATAGATAAACTCCCTCGCAGCTACTAATAAACCTACTTTAATGTTGAATCAGTTGTTGCGACAGTTATTTGCAGTAGATAACTGAGTTTTGTTGGTGTTAAAATTCACAAGCCACTGCAAGTCAGCTGCAGAATGAGAAGATCAAAAACCGTATTTATTTTCTGACAGTAAAATAAATTCTGACAGTAAGTTATTTATTTCAAGATGAGATGTTTGAAATTTATTGATCAAAGACTCAAAGACCTTGCTTATAACAGATAGAAGACTGATCAGACAATAGTTATTGGAGTCAGAATGTTCTCCAGAGTTTTTTTAAAATCAGAACCACAGATGCCATTTTCCAGAATGCAGGAAACAATATTCAGTCAAGCACTTATTAAATAGTTTAGAGAGAATTGAAGAGAGTTCTGGAAAAAACTTTTGTAAGACTTTGACAGGAATATTGTCTGGACCATAAAAGAGTTTAATTGATATATGACTTTAGCAACGGAAACTGGAGCAATTTGAATGTCTAACAATGGGTTAACTTGTTAAATTGGAACAGAAGGAAGAGTATGGCCATAAGATTCAAGCATCGAATTAAAAAACTTCTTTGGAAATAGTTCTACCTTATCCTTGGGAGAGATAAGATCAGTTCCATGAATGAGAGATAAAATGTTAGACCTACCCTTGGTAATGATGCTGTTGAAGATTTCCCAAAAGTCACTAGAGCATAAAATTTGAGATAAGATATTAGATTTAGTGAACTGAGAATAATGGAGCTTAGAATCAAACAGCTTTTTACATTGATTTCTTGCAACAATAAACAGCTGTTTGTTCTCAAGAGAGTCTATCTTTTGAAAAAGATAAAAACAATGATTACAATTAGATATAGCAGTTGCACAAGAAGGTGAAAACTATGAAGTAGAATGAGGCTTGACTTGGAACTGACAAGAAGGAATTAAAACTTCTATTTTTGCATGGATCCAGGAGGTTACATAGGAGGCACATTTATCAGCAGAGAGAGAAAAGACATCAGCCCAAGAACCATCACAAAAAAAATCACAAAAAGAATCTCAGTCAGCTATAGGATAGTAAGTAGTGCAATGAAGAAGAAGTATCAGATAAAAGATTCATAAAGATCATAACATAGATCATTGCATGATATAGATTGCATGCATCATCGTATGATATATATTTAGCCATTTTTCATTCCATTTTTCATTCAATTTTTCATAAGCTTGACTTTTAAACCCTTAAACTCTTTTTTCTAAAACTTGAAAAATAATTCAAAATAATTTTGTAATTATAATTACCTTTAATGTATAATATATTTTTTTTGTTTTTGATCAAGGTTGTTACTTTTATAAAAATATTTGAAATTTAATATAAAGTGTACATGTTCAATTCCAAATAGAGGAGGTAAGTGATTCAAACAGAAAACAAACTTACTTCTCTCTGATATAAGAAGCAATCATTAGATACTGAAATTTATTAATAATGATGCCATCATCATCATCATCATCATCATCATCATCATCATCATCATCATCATCATCATCATCATCATCATCATCATCATCATCATCATCATCATCATCATCATCATCATCATCATCATCATCATCATCATCATCATCATCATCATAATCATCATCATCATCATCATAATCATCGTTATCTAATTATCTAATGGAAAATAATGATGATAGTGATGATGCTGCTTGATTAAAACTAGATAAATATTAAACAAACTTTGTCTTTTTCGTCCTCCGATACCACCAGAACCACTAAAAGAAAAAGAGAAACAAATTAAAAAAAAAAAAAACTAAATGAAAGAAGTTTATATTTAAAAATAGATTTCTTACCTTGGCTGATGTTTGGCAAAATTTAAATCATACTTGTATTTTTTAGACAACTTAAAGCTAACTGAAAAAGTTCTAAAAACAAATTGAAAGTCTTTAAAGAAATAGTTTAATCTTCTGACAGGTTTTTAACAAACAAATTGATTTATATCATTTTTACCTATTTTTGTCAGTTCTGAGTCCTGGAAGAGAAGTCCTGAGTTGCTTACCTAATATATTTGTGAGTTTAAGCATACCTGATTATTATTATTTGAATTTCAGTAAGATAAATAAAAACTTTAAAATAAAATATACTCAAAATATTTTAAAATTTTAAAATAACATCAGATTTAAAGAATTCTTCAACAATATATATATATATATATATATATATATATATATATATATATATATATATATAATATATATGCAAATAATAAAATACGTTCCTTAACTGACCATTTATATAAAATTTTACAGACTTTATAATATTTTTTTTAATTTATTAATGTTTAAAATAACTACTTTTTTGTAAAACAACAGTTTTAATATAAACAATAGCGACAATTTTTTTTTTTGCATAAAACACATTTGATAATGTCAACATAGTTAAGTTAAAAATGTTACTACCAGCTAAATTAAAAATGTTGGCATCTATTAAAATAAAGTTTTTGAAACCATAAAATTTTTTATTTATTTTGATTTTCAGTTTTTAATTCAGTAATAATCATAATTGAAAACTTTATTTTATAATTTTTAATATTATTTGTTGTTTTTTCAAGATTTCAGTTAAATATTTTTACTTTTTCAAAGTTTCAGTTGTTATATTTTGAATACAAATTCACTTCTTGCAAGGCTGCAAACAAAAACTATTTAAGTTAGGAGTCAACAGAAAACAAAGAAGAAATCAAGAAAGCGATGAAAGACGGATGATGTAAAAAACTGTAAACTGTATGCGTCAGGAAAACATGAAAATGAAAGATGGGAGAGAGAGTTCTAAAGTACTGAAAAAAAACTAGATAAATAAAAGTTTTTCAAGTCCAAAGAAACAGTTACAGTAAGAACACACAACTTTATCTATTACAGAAGAGAGATCGAATTCAAAATCCACTTCTTGTTCTAAGCAAACAACAAGTGTTGACTTTTTGTTAAGACAAAAATATTTAAAGTTTCTCACGATAAACATAGTGAATGTTTTCAGTTTGCTGTGTTTGACTAAAACACAGCATTCTGAAAAAGTTTTTTTCATGTTTTTTAAATTTTAATGCAGTTTTATGTGTTCTAATGTAACAACATGTGAGAACTTCTACAGATAGAACCTGTTAAACTTTTATCCAAGTGAAATCTTCTTAGCTAACACACCTTAGACATAATTTCAACTCCACAAACTTATCTATTTTTATCTTTGTAAAACAAATTAAGTTTCATCCTAAAACAGTATTCAGTAACTAATTTAAACTTTAAGTTTAAAAAGATTATGTTTTTTAAAATACTTTTGTTATCTTACCCTAAGCAGCAAATAGCACAAAAGCAATTGCAATCTTAATTTTTTTGCTCTATCTTTTTAACATGATTATAAAAATTCAACCAGTAAACCTCAACACCTTTATTGATAACCTTACCTTTCTGTTAAAAATATTAACTTGACTTCCACAAACTGCAGTCTGATGAGAAAGTTCAATTCCACAAATTGTTTTGTATTTTGAATCAACAAACTATTCTTCTCTAAAGATAGATGTTTCTATCAACACAACAGAGATCCATCCAGAGATCAGAGATCAACAGAGATTCTTATTTTCTTATTTTAGAGATTAATGCTGAATAAAGCTCTTGCTCTCAATTTTGGAATAAAACTTTTTCGTTATCATCATTTTGTTTTCATCAAAATATTATTGGGCACTCAAAAATAAAAAGCTTTATAATTTTAGAAAAAAAAGAGTCAAAAAATAAAGATTTGAATTTAAATTTGCTATTAATAGTTTCTATCAGATGCCAATGTAGTGACTTACTCGAGGCTGAGAAGGCAATCCGAGGAGGCTACTTAAGTTTTGGTTACAACCCTCTCTCAAGTTTCAACTCTGAAACATAAAACTTGACAAACAAAATCCCTGTGCAGAGAAACAAGTTGAGCACAGTACTACCAAGAATGTGGTATGGATCGAACTCAGAACTTTTTGTTTTGTTACTACCATTACAACCAAATTTTATTACTAGTACTAAAAAGAGAGGTCTAAAAAAGTACTGGAAAAGAGAGGTTTAAAAAAGTACTGGAAAAGAGAGGTTTAAAAAAGTACTGAAAGTGAGGTTTAAAAAAATAATTAAAGCAAGGTTAAAAAAACCTAAAGTAAAAATAACTTTTACTAAAAATCTCAAAAAAACAGTGTATTATTACTATAACAGTTTTATAATAATAATAATAATAATAATAATAATAATAATAATAATAATAATAATAATAATAATAATAATAATAATAACAACAATAATAATTTATGCATGGTTGGATGTGAGGGTGTATAGAGTAAGGGTTAAGTAATATATAACTAATAAATAAGTAATAATTGAGTAATAAATTAAATATAGTAAATGAAATTACATTTTTTTATATTTTATTCTCAAAGAGGAAATACCTCATTACATTTGCAACTACTAAAACATTGACACTGTTCCCTAAAAGTTTATATTTTTGTTTTTCAGTTATTTTATCTGGAAAAGAAAAACATATAGGAAAACATAATAAAGCTGCAATTTCTTCAGGTGAAAAAAATCTTAGTTGAAGACTTTCAAGCAGGTCAATGTTGGATTCGTTATCATTTTCAGTTATTGATAATTTATTGAGAATTAGATTTCTATCAGATTGAGGCAAACATGAAAAAAGTGAGCCAGTGCCTTCTATAAATCTACTGTAACCACTTGTGAAACAACATGACTTATTAGAATCACTGTCAACAATATCAAAAAGTGAATAATAGCGAAGTAAGATGCTATGTGAAATCTTAGTAAACTTTATTGGAAAACTTCTCTTTTGTAGTAAATCTAACATTTTCTTTAAATCTGGTTCACAAAAAGAAGAACTATTAATTTCAGAAGAAACTGAATTATCAACATTTAAAATATCTTTTATTTTCATTGGTTTATACAACTGAACAACAGAAGCAAGAGCAGTGCATGCACATTCCATATCTAATCCTTCACATTCACAAAGGTTACCATTTAGACATATAGGCTTCTGAGTTGTTTTAAAATTAAATTTTTTTTGATATCTTGCAATAAGATAATACCTCAATCGTGAATTAGGTATGCCAAAATCTATTGGAGATAATAAAAATGATTGAGTATAATAGCCTTTAGAATTTAAAACCATTAGGAAATCCTCACAACTATCAGACACTTCAAATCCTTTCACATTTTCCAAAAATATAAACGATGGTGGCGATGTCATTTTCATAAGAATGTTCATCAATTTTTTAAAACTCTTTGCTCGAGGATCGCATGATGCTTCCTGCTTTCCTAATCTTGTATAAGGCTGACATGGAGGTGACATAGTCCAAACATCTGCATTAAAATGTTCTAAATCTTCTAAATTCAAACCTTCTATATTCTTTTGGAGAAGAGTAGTTTGTGGAAAATTATGCCTATACACTGAATTTGCAGAGGTATTAATTTCAAATGCAGCCTCGACATGAACTGATACACCAGCATAAGTTAGGGCATAATGAACACCTCCAATACCACTGTAAAATTCAAGAACTTTTAATGAAGGCCCCATTCAGCTATTCTACATTTAAGATAAAACAGATATAATGATTTATGGACAATGAAAAGTAAAAAAACTTGTTCTGAAATTATAAAAAATTATAATTTCAGAAAAAACAAACAAACTTACATAAACACTTATATATGTATATACACACAAACACACACATAAACACATACATGTATATATAAGTATACACACACTAACGAAAATGTAAATAGTCAAAACAAACTTTCATGTCAACATAAACTCATCTGTTGTTGCGTTTTTATTTATATATTTTTATTGAATAAAAAATAGAAAACCAAACTAATATTATATAAATGATTATACATCACTTGTATTTGTTTATTATTATTATTACTGCAAAAAAAGTAAAAATTTGTTTTAATAGTAAGATTTTAATTTATTATAATTACCTTATTACTATTGTTTGTAATAAGGTCATTATAATATTATATGTACTAAATAGTAGATTTTATCAAATTGCTTGAAACTAAATATATTTGTTTGAAATTAAATATAATAGTTAAACAATTAAAGATCCCTCAAACATTATTTTGTAATTTTAGTAAAGGAAATTAAAGCAAAGACGGCTTCATATATATATATATATATATGTAAAAAAATAATAATATAAAGATTTAATCATAAACAGTTTTAAAAATCTGGAACTAAGAGAAAAAACTGTTTGACTTTAATTTAGTGCAAATTTTCTCTCTCTTCTTATATATATATATATATATATATATATATATATATATATATATATATATATATATATATATATATATATATATATATATATATATATATATATATATATATATATATATATATATATATATATATATATATATATATATATATATATATATATATATATATATATATATATATAGCCCTCGGAATTAGGGTCAGCATTCTGAACTAGCGTCGGCAATGCTGACCTAAAAGTATTTGAGATCGGCAAAAAATTGCCAACCTTGTTTATATTTTTTATTGTTACCTCTTAGTGTCAAATTTTTTTTGCCGACCTGATACCGATCTCTAACAGTTTGAGGTCAGCAATTTATTGCTGATCTCATTTTTCTTAATTCCGAAGGGTGTTTTATATATATATATATATATATATATATATATATATATATACACTTGTAATATGTAACTTTACTTATTGTAAATACATAGTGAAATAATAAATTTTTATCATCATTAAATATAATCGCTAATAACTTAAAAAAAATATTAGACAACAAAAGACTTTATTTAACTAAAAAATATAAAAACAATTAATAACTTTTTTTGTTCCTAAATTGATTCTAAAAACTTTGTAATAGTTATGTCATCTGAATAATCAAGAGCAGAGCAGCCATCAATGTCTTTTAACTTAACATCAGCACCATTAGATACTAGTAGTTCCACAATGTGTGGCCTGCCACATGTAACAGCATAATGCAGAGGTGTTTGTAAATCTGAATCTACACAGTTAACATTGCAACCACGACTTATCAAAAGTTCTACTATTTCTGAATGTCCTCTATCGACAGCCCAATGCAATAAAGAGAGATCATCTTTATCTTTTTCATTTAATAACAAAGGATTGGTATCTAGTAAATTTATCATATATTTTAAATTACCTTCTTCACAATAATGAAAAATTGTTTTATTTTCATCATTTATTTCCTCCTCATCTGTTTTTGCCATTGTACTTACAGACACCCCTAAACCCTCTTTTTGATAAGTAGTACAGTTTTCGTTGCACCCATCATTATCTACCTTCAAAGCATTAACAAGAGTGACATAATTTAATTGAGCATCTTTTTTTGAAAGTTCCCTATAACTATTCCAACTTTCCCATTTGGCTTTTCCTGCAAAGTCCCAAAACGCAGGTTTAGGAATATTACAGCAGCCTTCATTGGATTGCTTATACAAGCCATACAATTTCAACATATCTGATTGACTTACTTTACTTAAACAACGTGATTGTAAAACAGCTTCTTGAAATAAATTTTCAATATCTGAGTCCATGACCATTAAATAATTAATTACCTGAAAAATGTATATACTTATTTGTCATATTTAATAGCATCTTATGAGACCTTCAGTACATACGCCAACAGAAGACTTTTTATATATATATATATATTCTTTTAAATGTGCTAAAGATTTTTTTGCAGTTGTCACACTAACAGGTATGTCAAATATAGCATAAGTGCTGCAACTATATCAGTATTTGATTAACTTATATCACAGCATGTTAATGTGAACATGGGTAAGATGTGGAAATGCAGAAATTTTCAACATGTAAAATGCTGTAATAAAGTGTAAAAAATTTCTCCTAACTTTAACCTTGTTGCTGTCCCAACCTAAGTTGATATAGCATTTACTCTTTTGCATGTTTTCTCAAAATTAGTTGATGTATGTACTTAAACCCTAACCATATTTCTTCTATTATTATGTATGTTAAATGTTTTTATTTTCTGATGAAAAAAAAACATTTAACATACATAATAATAGAACAAATCTTTAATGTTGACATGTCTATATGTATGCATATTATTTTTTACAGTGACAATTCTTTTTAAAAAGTTGCTTGGGCATTATATTATATATATATATATATATATATATATATATATATATATATATATATATATATATATATATATATATATATATATATATATATATATATATATATATATATATATATATATATATATATATATATATATATATATACACCATAGTGTAAGTGGATTTGTCAATATTTTTTTACCAACCTAAATCCATACGCTTTTTTTGTATAATGAAGAAATAAAAAAATAATGAATAAAAAGTCATTGCTGCCTAACCCAAACCATTAGCTGATGTAGCAACAGCTCCTAAATCACTTTGCATCCTAAATCAGTCGATGTATGTACTAAAGCCCATTGGCAGCTTGATTTTTCAGTATGACGTCAGACTTCTCGTCAAAGTTTGCATTTATATATATATATATATATATATATATATATATATATATATATATATATATATATATATATATATATATATATATATATATAATAGGTATACATACAATTCCTTTGTATTTCATAGATTACAATTAAATAATATTAAATACAATAGAGTCAATATTTATTCAATAAATAGAAACAAGCAAAAACTTAAAATTGATAAAGGTAAATTTGATCACAATAAGAAATAAAAGTTAAAAATAGTTGCTTGCAAATACAAAAAAAGTGAGATAATGCATTAATGTAAAACAAATACATAAACGTGAAACAAATGAATAAGATACTAAATAATAAAAATAAAAAACTAAACTTAATTTGTATATATATATTTAAATTTAAATTTTAAAACTAAATTCTTTTGCGTATATTAAAGATAAATTTTTTTTAAGGCATCTTCATATCATCTACAAATGCTTCAGCTTCAACTTCATCAATGTAATTTTTTATACTGTTTTCTTCAGCATGACTCTCTACTTCCCTTGCGAACATAACTTTATATTGTGCCAGAACTTTAAGCAAAGGGCGAGTTCTTTTCCACCAATAATGTTTAGGTAATCGGTTTCTAAATCACCAAGTATAAAAATGCACAAACCAGAGTGCATTAAAGTAAATACAAAAAAAAAAAAAAAAAAAAAAAAAAAAAAGAAAGAAAAAAGGAAATAATTTTTTACATACACAAAATCAGTTTTATCTTTTAAGTCAAGTACAGGAGTAAATTGACTGTGGTTTTTAATGTGCCCAAGAACACAAGAAGAATCAGATGAAGTAGCATTTACTAAACCTTTAATCACAAAAATGATTTATTAAAAATTGTCTAAATAAGTTTCACAAAAATAATTTAACAAAATATTAATAATAAATAAAATTGAATAAATATACATGAAATTAAAATCTAAAAATAAATTATAAAAACATTAAACTAAAAAATAAAAACCAAGATTAAAAAGATAAAAAAAAGATAAAAGATAAAAAAACAAAAACATAAAAAAATAATAAATAAAAGTACCAAATTCATCTTTGGCTTCTTCAATTTTCTGAAGCAAAAAGTGAAGTGCTTTTACACCATATCTAGTTCCGTACAGTCTATCAAAGGTTGAAGGTGAACCCCCCTAAAAATAAAGTTCAATAGATTTTTTGACTTTAATTTAAAAAATATAACCCAGCATTTATTTTCAAGATATTAGTGATTTAAAGGAATCAGTTATTTACTTACAGAGAAAATTTGATTATTAAAATTATTTAAAGTATAATAAAATAACACTTAAAACAAAAAACAAATTTTTTTTTAGATTTCTATGAAAATTTCTTAAAAAAAAAATTTGAACTATCCCCCAAAAACATACAACTATATTTTAAAATGTTATGGAATAAAATAACAAAAAACATAAATGAAAAATTGCAAAAACTTTTTCCACAAAAATAAACATGTGTAACAACAGCAAACATGTGTAATATGTGTAACAACAATAAACATGTGCAAGATGTGTAACAACAACAAACATGTGTAGCATTGTAACAACAACAAACATATGTAACAACAAACATGTGTAACAACAATAAACATGTGTAACAACAATAAACATGTGTAACAACAATAAACATGTGTAACAACAACAAACATATGTAACAACAAACATGTGTAACAACAATAAACATGTGTAACAACAACAAACATATGTAACAACAAACATGTGTAACAACAATAAACATGTGTAACAACAACAAACATGTGTAACAACAGCAAACATGTGTAACAAACAATAAGCATGTGTAACATTGTAACAAAATTAAACATGTGCAACAACAATAAACACATGTAGCAACAACAAAAAAATTGATTTAGTTGTAGAGCGCCACAACACACAAAATTAAGAAAGTTAACTTGTTAACTTGTTTTTTTAAAAAAAGCAATGAAAAATTAATTAATTTTCTCAACTATAGTGTCGTCATAAGATTTAGAGAAGTGAATTTAGAAAAAATATAATAAAAGATTTTTTTAAGAACATTATAAAAGACTAAAATTTTATTACAGAGCACCACAGATAAACATTTACCAAGGAAAGTCTTGTCTTGGAAATGTTACATATATGGCCATAGTTTGCTGGCATCGAACCACAGACCTCTAGTTCTGAAGCCAAACCTCTAACCACTACACCACTGCTGCTATAATATATGTAATCACTTTTATTTTGGTACAAACTTAATTACAGTAACTCATGCTTCGAATTTCCTGCATATTCAAAGCAAACTTCTTTTCCTGTTAATTTTTAACAAACTCATACAAATATCCATCAGTTACTTGAACCTGCAGTTATTTGAAATTTTGGTTATTCAAAATGATTTTTTTTACTCCTCTTGACAAAATCCCCATCAGAGTTTTTTTCTATTGATACCATTCTATTGCATTTCAAAATGCAATATTATGGAACGCTATCAAAATATAACAATTTAAAAAATGTTATTAAAATTTAATAAAAAAATCTAACACATTTCAACGTAGTGCAGTAGAAACTTTAGCATGGCATCTACACAAAAGAAGACAGTTCTAAAAATCAAAGAAAATTATCTTGCTGTTAACGATTTAGAAAAAGGACTAAATAAAAAAAATGTTTAAGAAGAAAACTTTAGATTTTATAAAAGAACTCAACATTATGCGAATGATAAGGTTTCAGAAGGGTGGCTTGATCAGTAGACATTATATATATTTTTTGAACTATTTATTTCTAGCAAGGAAAAGTTGTCTACAGAGGAAAAGACATCAAATTGGGAGAAAACCTATTTGCTCCTGATCATCTCAAGGTATGAGTTGAGGGATATATACAACATTGATAAGTTTATTTTATTAACAGCTTCCAATAAAAATCTTTCACCTAAAAGATAAACGATGTGCAGGAAGAAAATTGAGCAAAATTCATTTAACAGGCTTAGCAGCAGGAAATGGGGTTGGTGAAAAGCTGCATATGTTTGTAATTGGAAAGACAGAAAAACTATGATATTTAAAGATGTCAAAAGCCTATCTTGTCAGTACGAGTCCCAAAATAAATCCTGGATGGACTCTTTACTGATAATGTAAAAAGGTTTGATGCAAAGTTTAATGTTGAAAAGTTGCCAATTGATCAGGAAATCATAAGGGCATTAAAGGCTTTTTATTGTGCAAATGTTGTCAGATCAAATACATTGATGCTGGTAAAATGACTCCAAATATCAACATTCTTAAAGCTATGAGATTAAATGATGAACTTTTTAAAAATTGTAAAGATTTTATTTTCTTGGTTTAAATTTATTTTTTCAGACGGCAAAGACTAAAAAAAAAGCATCTTATTCCAAAGTTTTTCTGCTTTTTTACTCTCTACTCCTGTTAAAATTTGATAGTAACTTGAAACAGGTCACTTTTGTAAACTTTTGGTTATTTGAAGTAAATTCTAATTCCCCTAGGAAGTTTGAATAACCGAGAATTTACTGCATTTATTTGTTTTAATAAATCTTTTTAAATTTAATTAAAATAAAAAATGAAAAAAAGATTACATATAATAAGATCTGCATAGAAAAAAAAATTTTTGAATTCGTATTGAGATGAGAATAAAAGAAAATGTATTCATTTTTGAATTCTTATTGAGATGAGAATAAAAGAAAATGTATTCATTTTTAAATTCGTATTGAGATGAGAATAAAAGCTTTATTGTAAATCATTTATGAGTTGAAAACATATTAAAATCCACTATGAATAATATAATAAAAAGAAAAAAGAACAACATAGGACTAAAAAAAAAACATGTTAGAAATAGTTAAAAAAAAAAAAGGCATATATCAAATCAGATAAAGCATCTTGAAAAATAAATTGATCAAAGAATGGTACTTCACAACGTGGTTTTAAAAAAATATTTAATGTATCACAACTGTTTATATGCAAAGTTATTATTAATAAAAACTAGTATTAATTATCATAAAAAAATAAAACACTATAAAATCGACACAAAAAACAGCTGCCCATCCTGAATACAGCAAATCAGTTTCAAATTTTCAGAAAAAAATAGTTATTATTAAAATTAAATAGCTTTTTATTTGATCAATATTTCTGCTGCATTCTATTCTTCTAACATAAATACAGCGTCAAATAGCGTAAGATTAAAAAAAAAAAAAAAAATCAAACCAAAATTACTTGTCTGGATTGCATTCTCTACAAAAGGAATCTCATAACATCCGACCATGCAGTCAATGAAGATGTGTATATTTCAAAATGTCACATTAGTGAAATTCATTAAAAAATATAATAATGTCATCATTTTCTGACCTGATATTGTTTCATCACATTTTCCCCATAAAATACAAAGCTGTTTAAAACTCAAAAATATTGAACTTGTACCAAAAGTACATAACCCTGGTTGTTTGTCACAATAAAATCCAATTTTTTAATTTTGTTTTGAACTTAAAAGATTGGTGTACAATAGAAACTAGCATTCTAAAAATCTAAATAAAACTAAAAGCAAAGCAAGAAAATCAACAAGAAAATGAACAAGCACTAAAGAGCTAGCCTCTCTGGTGCCTAGCGATATGACACGCTTTTTTGTTTCTTGTTTTTTAGGGTTTTTTAATTACATTTAGTACTTGATATATACAGATTTATTTTTTATTCTGATTCACTCCCAACAATGCTAAAAACAACCACTATTAAGTTAAAAGAAAAAAAAGAGTTTAATGAAGAAGTTGACAGAAGACTTAAAAAGTTGAAGATTGCATGAATCAAGAAAACATGAAAGAGAGATCCAAAACATTGTAGTGCGGGGAAAAAAGCTAGATATATAAAAGTTTTTGGAGTATGCAGGGACAGATACAGCATAAGAATGAGACTTTGATGAACGATGAGTCGAGGGAGAATAAGTTTTAGTTGATGGAACTAGAGATGAAAGCTCCTTTAAGCAGCAGCCATGATAATTTTTGTAGAAAAGAGAAAGAGATGCAATTTTGAGACAATGGGAAACAGGCTCAAGCTTTCGCAGACAGACCGGATCCAACTACGTTTACAATGCATTTTTGGACCTTGTCTAGAAGAGAATGAGCATCATTAGAATAACCAGCCTAAATATGACAATAGTATTCCATACAGGGATAAAAAAGAGATTAGTAGAGGTAGAGAATGGAACCAGTAGAGAGAAAATGGCAAGCATGATAAAGAGAAGCAACTTTAGCAGATGCTAATTTAGCAATTGATTGCATACATGGCTTTCGTGAAAGGTCATTACTAAATGGTAAGCCAAGAAGACATAAAGTAGAAGACTCAGTGAGAGGTTGCCATTCATAAATATAGGAATGTCAACAGTACTGAAATAGTTGTTTACAGTAAATAACTGCATTTTGATGGAGTTAAAATTTAAAAACCACCGCAAGCCCCAATCTGCAAACAGAAGTGAGATCAGATTCAAGATTGACTGCCAGTTCTACGCGATCAAAAAGAGAAGACTTTTTGTCAAGACAGGAGTATAAAGTTGAGTCATCAGCAAAAAGAGCTACTTTAGATGAAAGGTTGTGGGGGAGATCATTAATGTAGATAAGAAGTGGATCCAACTACATTTACAATGCATTTTTGAACCTTGCCTAGAAGAGAAAGAGAAAGAGAAAAGAGGATTTATATAAAAAATTTTATATAAATCCAAAAAATTTCTTTTAAAGATATCAAAAAACTTGTAGGAAATTCATGATTTATATTTCTGATATAAAAACTGTAGTTTTTCTGAAACAGAATCTAAAAAAAGTTTAACACAAAAGATAACCACAGCACAGTTGTGATTTTCTGTCTAAAGGAGTTTAAAGGCACTATAATATCTGTATATATATATATATATATATATATATATATATATATATATATATATATATATATATATATATATATATATATATATATATATATATATATATATATATATACATATATATATATATATATATATGTATATACATTAGGGCTGTCCAAAAAAAATTTTTTTTTCAGATTTGATTGCATAGTTGTTTATTTTGTGCCATTTGACATATTAATTAACTGTGCAAAAAATCTTTCCGATCAGATAATGTTTAGGGGGTGCTCAATGACCATAAAGTTTTACGAAAAATGTGAAAAACATGGAAAAAGTAACAAAGTTCCACAAATTTCTAAAACCCGGTTAATTAGATTTTTCAGATTTGATTAGTTTTAATTATCTCTAAATATTAAATTCTGAATACAAATTACAATCCACATCCACTTTATACTGGTTTATTAGCAGAGAAATTAATGAAATAAAATACTGCAATACGACTAAAGTTCTGCGGTTTTTGTTATATCAGAATTTTTCCAAAATAAAACACTAAGATTTTTGACTCTTTGTCATTGATTAAAATACGAATTATAAACAAAAAAAATTATTGTAAAGGAGTAACAGTTTCTCAAACCGTTATCAACTACTAAGTAGGTCAACTCAAAAACATATGAGCAATTAACATTTAATTATCGTAATGTTATAGTTCGTGCAATGTTAATGCTAGCGAGGACTATAACTCTTCAGAGTACACTTTCTGGCATCTGGCACTCGCTTTCTGTGATCCTCAACCACCTGAATTAACCTCTGCATTTCAGATTCATTCCTTGTAATCGATTCATTAAACATCGACATTAAAGCCACAGATCGTTCGGCAGCATCATTTACTACTTTCAATGAATATACTAAATTTTTTCTTTCTTGGTATTCTGGGAAATCATTCCAGGTAGCTGGATCGTTGTTGAACAGAAAATCAATATCAACCTTCATTGACCGCAACGCACTTGCTGAAACTGATGTCACCAGCATGTCCAGAGATTTCTTCTCTAGACTTTCAATGTTCTTTAATTTGATCAACCTTTCAGACCAGTTCTCACCGTGAAATTTCATGTTGGAAATCATTTTTCGCTTCTCTATTATTTCAATGTTTGATTGATGATAGGTTCGTTTTCTACGGACTGTAGAACGTGACAATGATCCATCATCGAGGTTCTGTCCACCAGCCCTTGCAATTGCTGCTGCTAGTATAGTAAATTTTGTGTCAGATAGATTAATTCTGTCTAATGTTGATGAAACATCAGGCGAGTCAAGAATTGTATCTAAGATACATTGTCGTTTTGGAGTACTTGCTAAACTTGATTCAGCTGACCCTGAAGAACTTGCTTTACTGACTTGTTGTCTGTAATAAACAGGGATTTCTATCTCAAAATCTCTATCAACCATTTTGTCATTATCAACAGCATCGTTATCGTTGTCATCACTATAACTTTCGTCATGTAAAGGTTCAATAACAGGAACTATTGCACTCGCACCAGATTGTCTTTGCTCTTCTTTTAGCTTTCGTTCTCTCTCTGCTTGTTTCCTTGCTTCATTTCTTGCTTCTAATTTTGAAAGTTCTTTGTCCTCTCCAAACATCACCATTTTTCTCTGACATCTCTGATCCAATATAAATTCTTTATCTTCTTCAATTCTGATCATGGTTTCAGCATCCTTGTGGGCAATGTCAAAAAGTAGGCCAATGGTGTCTGTAAATGATTTCTCTCTTGATTTCTGAGAATCTGGATTTTTTTTTTTTTATTAATTTAAATTCCTGGACTAAAGTTTTCAACTTTAAGACTACATTCGGATGAAATGCTGTCGGAATACGGGCTTTATTCCAAATAATAATCAGTTCATCAACAGTTGTTTTAAGACTTTCAGGCACTGACTTTTTGGTTGAATTAAGATGATAAAAAAATGTTTTTAAAACATCAGATGTTAAGGGAAGAACTTTATCTGGAAGATTTGGCTCTGGTTGTCCAATTAAAAAGATTTCGGTTTGAAGTCGTGTAGAGATAGCAACACGAGATGATGCTGCCATTTCAATGATAACTGAAAAATTATGAGAAAATCAAAACTCAATACCATATTATACAAACTTATCATTCAGTTGTTGGTTTATGCAGCTGCAGCAATATTTAATAATAATTATTACTAAAGAAATTAAATAAATATTTTCAAATTAGAAATTATTATTATCTGCACTTAATAACAAACAATACACTACCAGACTACCATGCTAGTTTTCTGTAATAGGTTACTAAGGTTAGGTACTATCAAAATATTAATACATTTGTTGTCAAACTGAAATTCCAAATAAAAATAATATTTATACTTATAAACCTTTTTATTCTGTTTGAACAAATTCTAAATTGAGTTAAATAATAGTATTAAAATTATGAATACAAATTTTAACAAAATGATATAAACACAGTTGTTTTAAACACTAGCAGACATTTTTTAGTCTGGTGCCCTGATGACAGTTAATCTGCTGCACTTTAATTAATCTATATAGCACGCAATCAGACAATATTTCAGTGGAAAAAATCTAACTAACCAGGTTCTAGAAATTTTTGGAACTTTGGAACTTTTTCCACGTTTTTGACGTTTTTCGTAAAACTTTATGGTCATTGAGCACCCCCTAAACATTATCTGATTGGAAAGATTTTTTACACAGTCAATTACTATGTCAAATGGCACAAAATAAACAACTATGCATTCAAATCCGAGAAAAATTTTTTTTTCCTGTGTTCACATGAACAGCCCTAATATACATATATATTATAAAAGGGCCTACTTGCGATATATTTTTTTGTTTTGACAAATATAACAAACGAACTTAAGACTAAATTATTACATAATATATAAATGCTCAAATAAATAAATAATCTCTATAAATTGCTAATTTCTTTGAGCATTTAAAGTCTGATATTAAATTGACATGGTATTATATAATATGTTTATATTATTAAAAGTAAAATGCTTACTTTCTTATTGGATAAGAATAGTTTCTATATATATTGGAGTATTTAGTTGTTAGGAAATACAACATGACAAATAAACATTCCCATACAGTATGTTTAGACATAAGTAACTAAGCTAATTTAATTTTTTATTTAATTTTAGTTAAACTGGTGTTTATACATGTATTTGTGCAAATAATGATCATATACTAGCGTCTCTTGTGTTATCTACTAAAATTCATTCTTGTATTACTTATCATTCAATTAAGACTCATCCTTTTCTGTGACTAAATGTTGAAGATGTTTAAAAAAATGTTTTTTTTTTAAACATCTTCAACATTTGCAACACCATTGTTGTCATGATAACAAAACTTATAATTTAATTTCATTATCAAGACTTTTTTATTATTATACTTTTTAAATTAATAAAATGATAATTCTATTAAAGTTATACAACCTTTAATTTTGCCCAGATTTTCAGTTATCATGTTACTCATAAAAATATTTTAAATAGATTTTATTGAAATCAAATATGGTGTTGAAGCTTTTTCATACCTGTTGAATATGTCCAAGAACATTACTGCGTACAACAAAGAGTTTTTTTCCTTCCTCAGAATAAAGTCTTGTTATGAAATCGGTTGTATAATTACTATTGCAGTGTTCAGATCTATTAAAAACAATACAAAAAAACCAAAACTTAACAACAACAAAATAAATTTTTTTTATAAATAATTTTTGATTTTAGCCATATTTTATTATTTTACCATACAGATTCTCTTGGGAAATTATATTTAGATTTTTTTAAAAAATGTTTTTGCAAACATGTAAAAAAAAAAAAGTAATTTCAATGAAAATCGTATTTTGAAAACTTTAGAAGGATATGTATGTACATCAACTGAGGGTTTTTTTGAATAACACATACATAAAAACATAAACGCATATAAAAACATCAATGCAGATTTAGTTGTGTATAAAACAACACTGATGACATACTAAAATGCAGATTTAGTTGTGTACGAAACAACACTGATGACATTATACTAAAAAAGCAATCTTCAATAGCTTCAATATATAAACTGTCTGAACTTGTGTTTCGACAAAAACATTTTAAAAAAACTGCTTTTTTAACACTTTTGCAAGTGTAAAAAAAAAGTTAAAATTCAAAAAAATTTATACAAAAATAATCATATTTTCAATAAAAAAAATAAAAAATACAATTAACTATTAAAAAATAAAAACAAAACAAAATCAAAGAGATCAAAATTTAAAAAAACAAACAAACAGAAAAACAATACCTAAGAACTAAACCTCTTCGTAAACCACTGTTAGTGAACTTATTTTTTAAGTGATCAATGTTTCTCTTAAAATAAAATAAATAAAATTTGATGTAAGCAACCCAACATACAAAACATGCAACACAAACTCAATTTTTTTTGTAATGCAGAAAATATATTATTTGAAGAACATGTACCTTAAGTTCTTCAAGTGTTAAACATTCCTCAAAAATGTATGCTGAATCAGCCCCTGCTGCAATAGCTGCCATGGTTGGTAAATATCCACATTTTCCACCCATTGTTTCGACAATAAAGACACTCCGAGCAGTACTACCAGCTGATTGACGAATCTTATCACAACACTAAAGTATAAACAACAAACCCTCTTTAAACGATATAAGTAGTTAGTGTAAACCAATAGCAATAACTTCTATATATAAACAAATTCTATAAATAAATCTTCTATAAATAAATCTTTAATAAGGCAAGCAAATGTTGGATATCTTTTTTCTCAAAAAACTTCTTGCAAGATTTTATAATGATTAATGGGAAACAATTTTTTAAATTTAAAAAGTTAAAGCATTATCTATCTATCTATATTTATATCTATATCTATATTTATATCTATATCTAAATTTATATCTATATCTATATCTATATTTATATCTATATCTATATATGTATATGTATATGTATATGTATATATATATATATATATATATATATATATATATATATATATATATATATATATATATATATATATATATATATAATTTAGTAAAAACTTTTCTTTTAATTTTTTTTTTACTAAATTATTATTGCTCTGTTCTTTAAGAACATTGAGCACTCTATTTGTAGAATACATAAAAAAAATAAAAATAATATTAACTCAAACTTGTCATTATAAACCAAAAAAAGTGTCATTGTGAACAAAAAAACTGCCTGAGTGGAAAATGTTTATCAAAAATCGTGGTATATAAATGTGTTGTTTCTTATAAAAATGTACCTGATAAATAAAACATTGGTTTAGTAGAGGGTGAATGGAAAATTTGCCAATCATAAGCAATCTTTTTAAAACAAAAATTGTTTAAGACACCATAGCACAGTGGGCCAGAATAGAAAATTCAAGAAAAAATGCAGTACCAGGAGTAACATTTAACAAAATATCAGGCAGTTTCAAAACAATTATCCTGAAATTTGAAAAAGTCTAATTCACAACCACTAGAGATACAACAAAGTATAACATATAATCTTTCAACTAGCACTTTATTAATTCATGCAATTTTACTAAATAGTCTTTATTTAAAAAAGCAATCTTGTATGTATTACCATCGTTAGCATTTCCACTATCACCTGCTCTTGATTGATCTACTATCAATCTAAGTTTATTTAAGAAACTTTTCTGAATTGCACTTTTTTGCTTCAATACTAAATTCTAGGTTTCAAATGATCTTGCTCGCCAAGATTTAATTTATATTTTATACACAATATGCAACAAGCATTTAAAGTACCTTACCCAAGGATGCAAGCTTGAAAGACCATACTGAAGAATGTGAGTGTAATGCATTTTTTTAAATAACAATTTCAATGTCATTTATATTAGATGGGTTACATCCCCACACAGATGTGTTACATCCAAACACTAAACATGACATGAGTTACATCCACACACTGAACATGACTGAACTTCATATTTTTCTGTGGGTTTTCATTACTCAGTCTAGTTCAAGCACCACAGGTTACCTGCATCAAATATTACAAAATTAATGATTTTCTCCGTTGGATCAAATTTTTGGCTAATGAGCAACGACTATCTTTTTATATGCCAACATAGATATTTTTTCTTGGTGCATAAATATGCAAAACATCAAAACACCCCTATGCATAAACAGTCTAAAACATCTTGTGACAAACTTTTTTAAAACTGTTTTAATTTAATGTCTTTGTTTGATCTCATCCTTTATATTTTCTACACATATGATACTATTTTGTATCATATATGTAGAAAAGGTTGTTTGCTTCTCTATTTATATATAATTTTTTTTTTTAATTTCTTTTTTATTTTACTTATTTTTGTAGGTATCTATGACGGCATTAAACTTTGTATGGTTTTGTTGTTTTTATAATTTTATTTTATATTTCTATATCTTATTGGCTTGGGCTTATTTATCCAAAAAGTTCCAAATTTAGTGACTTGTGTTTCTAATTAAGTTTTATCTAACAGTATTTATCACATTGGTAATGTAGTTAAGTATTTTGTGGTTTTCTATTAGAATATAATAATTTTTATTATCTTATATTTTTGATTATATTTTATTCTATTATTTTTTGCTATTTTTGTTAAAATTTTCATTTATATTTTATTCTATTAATTTATTATTATATATATATATATATATATATATATATATATATATATATATATATATTCACATCTCTCACTGTCCATATTATTTCTAAAATGTTAGTGCTTTACAAACTTGGATGAAGTTAGGGTTTTGGGCGTTTGTAGTGTAATTCTTTTTTACTGTAGTATGAAGCAGGTGTAATTGCGGGGTAAAGCATAGATGGCGATGCTGTTTTTCTCATGAGATAAACTAGGTATCAGTGCTGAGCCTCTGCAAAATGCGATTCTGAGGAGAATTTGTTTTGAAGTAAGTTATACTTTTGTATTTAATGAAAATTTATGGTTACTTATATATATATATATATATATATATGTTATATATGTTGCTTATGTGTTCTGTTTATTTTAGGTATACTTGTTCCAAAAAGTATTAGGTTATATATATACATCTCTGATAATTGTAATAAATATTTTTTACACATCATTTTAAACAATAGAAAAAAAAAAGGCAATTTACATTCATATTTTATTATTATTGGAAGAAAATAATAAGCTATAGATTTATTCTAAAATTTACTAAAAAAAGCGCCTCAAATAAAATGAATTTCAAATTTGTGAAGAAATAAAGTTGAACATATTTTTTATTGAATTTTTAGTCATTTTTTAGTTATAAAACAAAAAAAAATATCCATTTTAGAAAGGCCATGAGCAGTTGCTTACATATGAGAAAAACACATGAAGCTTTTATGCTGAGTAATTGCTTACATATGAGAAAAACACTATTACTATAGTAAATAAAAACACTAATAAAAAAGTTATAATATAGTAGTTTTTAAAAACCTCAACAATGACATTTAGGGTAGTATCAGCACCAAGTGAAAACCAAGTTCCAGGTACATTATTACTCATTGTAGCTGGAACAAGAACCATTGGTATTCTAAAAGCACTATAACTGCTTCTTGCTTCAGTTAATTGAATCAAACTAACAAAAGCCTAAAAATAAAAAAAGTAGTAAATACCCATATATATCATTTAGTTATTTTTTATGTCATAAAAAATAAAATTAAAATTTATAAAAAAGAATAAATAGTATAGATTAATATAAGACAATGAAAGAATAGAGATAAAGATAAAAAACAATAAAGAAAAAAGCTGTTAAAAAAAAAACCAAGTCAATTTAAATTTTGTCAAAAAGCGAAAATACAAATCTAGAATAAGCCTTACTTTGAAATTCAGTGGCCATTATTTTGTTTATTATGATTATTAAACATTTAAATTAATAAAAGCCTAGAAACCAGTGTTATTAATTTAGAAAGAAAAAAATTTGATTTTAATTAGCTGTTAAAGTTTTAAAGTAAAACATTTAAAGCAAAAAAAACACAATCTCCGCCTGAACTCATTTGATCAAATTTTTTTTCACAAAAGTTATGGTTGGGTTTTTTTTTCAAAACATTTTTAGTTAGCTCAATTTCAGCATGCAATATTATGCCTTGAAAAGAAAAAAGAAAAATAATTTTTAAAAATATTAAACATTATTTTAAATTATTTAGAAGTTTTTGTTTTGTTTTCTATGGTTACAAGCTATGTTTTTATTTTCTATGGTTACGATCTATGTTTTTGATTTCTATGGTTACGAACTATATTTTTGTTTTGTTTTCTATGGTGATTCTTATGGATTCCATAATTGCTATTATAAATCAACTTTTCTGCAATTGTCCAAACAAAAGAAAACAACAAAGTTTTTGTGAAATAAACTTTATTAGATGATGTCTCCGATAACATTGATATTTTAATAAATAAAATTTGTTTGTTTGTACTTTTATTTCTATAAATAAGTTTATAAAAAGAATACAATAAAATATTCAGGAATGTGAAGTCAGAATCTGGAGATTTTCATCTCAATTATTCCATACTCTGAGTATTTGTACTCAGAGTATGGAATCCAAGAAATCCTGAAAAAGTTATGATATTCTGCTTAGCATGAATTTTTTTTCTTCTTTGCAACTATTAATAATATATATTAGTTCAAGAAATAAGAAAATATATAGTTTTAATAATCCTTAATTTAATTCAAAAGAACAAACTAACTGAATTATGCATATTTACTTGAAAAGCCCTGGATCTAGAAAGTTTTCTAAACTAGCAAAATTCAGTTACTTATTTTTCCTGTTCTCAAATGTTATATGGGATCTTTATTAATTAAAAAAAACAAAGAGTAATGTTAAAAACATAACTCTTTGTTTTTTCTTCCCTAACTCAAACCCTCAGTCAATGCAGCAGCAACCCCCTTGTATTTGTGTATGTGTGTGTAAGTGCGTTTTTAAATAAATATTAAATAATGTTTTTTTATTTCAAAAGAATGCCTGCCCAAAACCCTCAGCCCATGTATGTACACTGCAATGCGCCTATCCCTATTTAAGTTAGTCAATGTAAGTACACTCCACTGCGACTATGTCAATTTATGTATGAATTGATGCACTTATTCTATAAAACTTTAAAAAATAAAAATAATTAACTAACGTAGCTGTATATATATATATATATATATATATATATATATATATATATATATATATATATATATATATAAACATAACTGTAAATATATATATATATATATATATATATATATATATATATATATATATATATATATATATATATATATATATATATATATATATATATATATATATATATATATATATATATATATATATATAACCCTTGGAATTAGGGTCAGCATTCGGCAATGCCGACCTAACTGCCAATCTGAAAGTGTTTGAGGTCGGGAAAAAATTGCTCGTTTCTATGTTTTATGGTCAGACCTTTATATCAAATAACTTTTGCTGACTTGATGCCAACCTCAAAAAGATCGAGGTCGGCAAATTATTGCCGACATCATTTTCCCCAATTCCCAGGGTTATATATATATATATATATATATATATATATATATATATATATATATATATATATATATATATATATATATATATATATATATATATATATAAAGCATCAACCATCTTGTATAAGTGTTTTATGCTTGATACATAAGTGTTGGATAAAATAAAAACTTATATTTTTTTACATAAATTTTTATTTTCAGATTCATTTTAACTAAAATGATCAATTCAAGTTAAAATGAATAAATTGTTTAACAAAATCATAAAATTTCTAAAACAACTAAAAGTTTAAAATCAGTAATTTACAATAGTTGCAATAGTATCTTTTTTACTCTTCAAAGTTAATAATTTATTAAAAATGTACGTATTAAAAATAAACAGACTACTAATATATACAGACATCAAATAACTAAAATATACAAAAAATGGTCTAAACTTTGTATGTACACATTATACATGGGCCGAATGTATTAAAATAACTTTAATCGATGCTTTATTGAAATAGGTAGGTGTGGGTATCAATGGAAATATTTTTGCTAAATAGGGGTCATCTCTAATAATATGCCAATGCTTCACTACAATGTTATTGATATCTCGACCAAAATTGCTTATTTATTTTAACTCTTTTAAAATGAAAAAGAAAATTTGAGAAAATGATATTATGTAGTTTCTTTTTATATATCACCTGGCAACACTATTACTGATCCCTCTACATTTAGTCTTATCAGAACTTTTGATAATGACTTCTCATGAAAATATAATTAATAGTAAATTAAAATAGTAAATTGAAATAGTATAGAAAATATTGAATTGAGTTCTGAAGTTTTAAGACTGCAAAAAGAATATGACCAGTAAAAAATAACTATAGCAACAAAAGCTTGAGTGGTTTGGATGTCTGAGAATAAATTAACTTGTTTTTATGGGATGTCAGAAATGGTGTGGTCATTAGATTCAAGATATGAATTAGTAAAAAGTTCTTTACAAATAGTTCTGATCCTTGAGAAGTAATAAGATCAGCACTACGTACGCGAAATGTATGCAAGTTTTTCCCTTTAGAATTGCATTATTTATATTAATTTTCATTATTCTTTGAAAGTAAAGAATAAGTTGCACATATTATCATAAAATATTTTTTACAAAAAGTCTTTAAAATATTCAAATATTACCTCAAATCCTCCAACAATAAATAAACCATCAATGTGATGCTCTTCAAGTCTACGATGGATCTTTTCAAGATCGGTACTAGGTAATGTTCTATGCAAATAAAAATTGAAAAAAAAAACACCAAACTTTGTTACAGTCTATTTATTAATATTAGCTTATTAACAATAAATAAATTTGCATAATTGTTTGCTATATAATAAAATATTCATTACAAAAAATTCAAATTTAAAAACAAAAATCACTAAAATTTACCTTGTAACACCTAACATACATCCACCTATTTCTGTCCACTTATCAACTTCAGACCACGTCATTGTATGAACCTAGAGTTCATAGATAAATTTAACAACAGAATAACAACAGAGTATTATAAGAAATTTAATATAAGAAATTATGTTATAAAAACTTTCTGAAAAAAAATTAACATTTCAAGCTTCATAAGTCTTTAAAACAGTAAATAAAATAATTTTATCTTAATATTTCATGACTTAAACCCTGTGTAGGCTACACATGTAGTAGTATTATGACACATTTGGTGGCCCGTAGATAAAACTTGACATCCTTTTAACAATGTAAACATTCTTTTAACAATTTTTCTGCAACTTCTATAATCCCATAATAAACTCAGTGACCCTTAATCCTTTTACAGACTCTCTGAACTTCGCCTACCCTCTAGACAATATTGAAATAGGTATTTTTGGTATATACTTAGTATATCCCTAAAATAATTTTATAGTTTCTCTGAATCAACGAGTTCCCAAAATTTAAATTTAAGAAATTCAAAAGTACTAATTCCCTGATTTGAGAAATTAGGATTTCCACAACAAACAAATCAGAACTTTAGGCATTCCTTACTTGGTGTTCTTGATGACAAAGTTCAGCAAAACGATAAGCCATTTAAAACATACCATTACTCAAAATTCCTTTGAATTAGCCTAATACATTAAAATTGTACTAGTTGTAAATAGGTAAATTGATAAAAACCTAAGATTACTATTTTGGAAGAAGATTAGAAGCTTTTGCATAATCATTTTAAATTAGAATTTCTGATAAATTATTATTAGTAGGCTAGATTTAATGTAGAAGTATTTATAAAAGGTTACAAACTCTTGTTAGTCAGGACAAATGCAATGTATTGAATAGTTTTTGTGCTCCATTACAGGTAAAATGTCCGACAATCATCATACAAAATCTCATGAACAGTTTGTTTTTCCTAAAGAAGTCTACTTTCTGTGCATAAAAAAATGCGCAGACAAATTACAGATTTCATGAAGGAGAGAACCAAGGCCCTGCTCAAACAAGAGCTTGACTTCACTTATTCCAAGGTTCTATCAGGAATTTGCAATTCTTGCAAACAAGTTTCCAAAAACTAGACAGTGGTCAAATCAGCGGTGAGCTCCTCAGACCTTACAACTTTCAAAGCATCAAGATCACAAGAAAGATGATTGCACATGCTTCAATTGGCAGATCACAGCATATTCAGGCTCCCTTTTTTTGCATCATTTACACCAAGCAGCAGTCCACAGAGGTCTTCTCTCACATGAAAAGCTGTTCTTTATTTTCCTGACAACACTCAAAAAGAGGTTTTCTCACCAGTGCACAAAAGGTTTAAAATTTGAAAAAGAAAAAGATGGTGCAGACTGATTCTAAGGGTGGAAGACAAACGCCCTCACCTCTGGACCTTCTTTTCAAAACTCAGAAAAGAACCTCATGCTCTCAACAAATCAACACTGGTCTTTCCAACAACAAAATAAAAGGGTTTGCATCTACTCTCAACAAGTCATTTGGAACAAGGTTGGTGGGATCAAACTTCAGGGATGAGTTTGCATGTGTTGGAAAGAAGTTGGAGTCCATCTTCACTACATCAACTATTTATGATGCTTCATAAATAATTGATTCAAAAATAATTTATTCAAAAGAAGATTCCTCAACCAATTTCGAGCTTTGCATCAGTCTGTTTGAGTTTGTTGCCATGGTGTTTGAAGAAAGAGGAATTTCCATCACAAAATTTAGGATTGATGGTGGTGGAAACCTCTTGAAGTTCAGCTTGAGCATCATTGACATCAGGAGATCTCTCACACACACTGCAAATCAAAAAACAACAACACTCACTGGTTCCACACCTCTTGACTTTGGTGTCAAGCAGAAACTGATTGTGGCCATAGCCAAAAACCTTCCAGAAAACTATGAGAAATTCAAATCAATCTTTGTTCATACCATTCTTCATTGTGTGTGACATGAAAGCTGCTAACATCCTATGTGGAATCCAGTTTCACTCCAGTTCACATGGCTGCTGCTGGTGTGACACCACCTTAGACAATTTGCAGCCAAAAGGAAAGCTCTGAGCAATAAAATCAATTAGAACTCAATTTTAGCATTTTTACAATTCACATTTAAGAGAAAACAAAATGCAGGCAGAGAATGCTTTTAAAAGTCTTGGAACTTATTCCTCTGATGAAAACCAACTTCAGGTTTGGGGTAGTGAATAATAAAGGTCTTCAGAGAATCTGGGAATGAGTTAGTGAATTGTCTTCAAAGTTGCATTTCAGCATTCAACCCTACCATGGTGGATAGCAGGAAATAACTGCAAGAAGCTACTTAATACAGATCTCTCGAGTGAGCTTGTGACCAAACATAAAGTTATCCCTACCCTAAAATGTTGTTCATTCTTGCTTTAAAACAACCTACCCCCAGATTTTGAGGTTCACATCAATGCATTTCAAGAATGCTACATGACACTGTCGGTCACAGTGACTCCAAAATGTTCTTGTTGTTTTACACAACATCAGAGAGTTCATAAAAATTCACAACATTGGGCTCGGCAGTTTTAGTAAGTAATCATTAATCAGTCCTCCACTGGGCAAGATACAAAAGAAGTTTGGACAACCCTAACTATGGAAAGCAGTTGTTTGACTGCGCCCTTGACTTCAACAGCAAGTATCTTTAGATCTAAGGCTGAAAAAAAAAAAAGATCTTTGGTTCAATATGGAATTATTATTTATTTTCAGTTACAAAATATCTTTTATGTGAAATTTGAATTGCTTTATTTGTAAAGTGTGTTTTGTTTCAAACAATTTGAAACCTATTTTTTTGTAAGAAAATTAGTCAAGAAAATATTTTTCATATATTCTTAGAATAATTTATGATCAGAAGGAAAAAATAAAACTTTTCATGATGCTTTCATTACTATGACTCAAATTTTTGATATCTACAAGCTTAAAAGGGCAAAGAATGAAGTAGTAGGCAATCCAAGTTTTCATTTTCCCTTATTTTTGTATCCTTATGACTTTATTAAGCAAAAATGTTACAGAGACAAGTGAACAGAGACATTGAAAACAGAAAAAATGGTTCCTCTACCTACCACACTTAGAAGCCCGTAAATCAGCCCAAAAAAAACTGGGTCACGAATACAATGCCAAATGAGTTTTAGAGACACTATTAAACAGCTAGAAAAGAGGAAACTGAAAAGAAAGTCGTCTAGAAAAAAATTTGAGAAAGAAGTGGAAACTTTAAAGAATAGAGACCTTGTTGAAGGTTTCATTGCCTATGATAATTAAATAAAATACAAATGAACAAGGAACTTTCAAAGGTTCTGGAAACAAATTTTGGAAATAATAGGAGGGGATAAAACAATCACTGTAACTAGTGCTGCCAAAATCTGGTTATCTATGGAAGAGGGGGGTAGTGCAAAACTTATTTTTATTTAAGAATTGTACCACATTCTCTTACATAAATAACAGAATTTTAAGATCCCTAACTGTAACTGGTTCAAGGAAAAATGGATGTTTGTTGAAAAACCTCAAACAATTGTTAAGTAATAAGTGTTTCTGTTTGGTTTATTTATATGTTACATTGCCATGAACTGCCATTAAAGCACATTATTTCCACCTTGAATGGATCCACCAAATAGAACAGGCAGCCGATCTTGAATCTAATCTCCCTTCTGTAACAGATTGAGGCACGGAGCCACTTGTGAATTTGAATTCCAACAAAACTCAGTTATTTACTGCTAACACCTATTGCAATACTGTTGATATTCCTATATTGATGAATGGCAACCCTCTTACTAAGTCTTCCTGTTTATGCCTTCTTGGATTTTCATTTACTACTGACCTCTTATGGAAACCATATATAAAATCAGGTGTTAAGTTAGCATCTGCTAAAGTTACTTCTCTTTATTGCGCTTCCCATTTTCTTGCTCCTGATTCCATTCTCTACCTCTACAAAATTTCTTATTTGTCCCTATATGGAATACTATTGTCATATTTGGGCTGGTTTTTCTAATGATGCTCTTTCTCTTCTAGACAAGGTCCAAAAATGCATTGTAAACGTAATTGGACCCGGTCTATCTGCAAAAGCTTGAGCCTCTCTCAGTCTTATCCTTTTACTGTTTCTGCATGCTCTAAAAACTTTTATTTGCATAGTTTTTTTCCCCTGCACTTCAACCCTTTGAAATTCTTTCCCATCTTCATGTTTTCCTGACTTATACAATCTTCAACTTTTTAAGCCTTTTGTCAACTGTTTCCTTGCTCTTTAACTCTATTCTTTGTTTTTTGTAACCCCCAAGTGGTTGCTTGTAGCCTTGTTGGGAGTAAATAAGAATTATTTTTTTTAGTTAATTTTTTCCAAAAGTTTGAATTGAACTTGAAAAAAGTGATAGACTTGAGATTTCCACCAAAAAGTTGTTCTTATCATAATTTAAAATATGTAAAAAAAAAAAAAAAAAATACAACTCAAAATATTCCAAGAACTTATTCAAAAAAAACAAAGAACTTGACTTATTTTATATTCCTCATATTATTAACACATTTTATATTAAAACCCTAGATATACTAATATCCTACATACTATCATATCATATTTATGGGTATAACATAAACATGTAAATAGGTTGGTCAATTATATTTCTCAAATAAAAAATAAATAAATGGAAAAATATTAAAAAAAAAAAGGTTACACTATTCTCTAACAATCCATCAAACCCATTTGTTATTCCCAGAACAGTATGTCCATGATAAAGTGCTGTTCTTACAAAAGAGCGCACAGCAGCATTCATTCCACCAGCAGGGGCACCAACATTAATAACACCAAGTGTATAGCCCTGTAAACAATTTAAAAAAAAAATTTAATAAATTTTTATAAATAAACTTTTTTAAAAAGTATTACATTTACAAACATTTTTTATAAAAACTTTTCTAACTCTTAAAATTACTCTGAAATACCTGCTTACTCTCAGTGGGAAAAGATGCATGTTTTAATATCGTGTACATTTCTAAACTTGTTTGAAATGAACTACAAACAAAAAATTAAAACTAAAGTCTAATGCAAAACATTTCGAGACAATAATAAGAAATAAGAAAACCTACAAGCTTATCTTTCCTTAAACGAAAAACAAGAAAACGTACAAGCTTACCTTTCTTTTTTTTTTTTTTTAAAAATAGAAAACCTATAAACTTATCTTTTCTAACAAAAACAAAAAAAACAAAAAAAAAACAAGAAAAAACAAGAAAACCTGCTTATCCTTCCTTACAATAAAAAAAGAAAAACTAATTCTTACCTTCCTCTTAGCTCAACTACTTTCTTAAAATTTTTCTCATTGTAGGCTGCTTTGATTTCATTACACTAAATTAGAAATTTTATACTATGTTGGGTGATGCCTTTGTAATTATACACAAACTAAAATAAGGTATTAAATTATACATTCATATTGAGATGCCAGTATATTATACTACTGTATTATATACAGTATTAACTCAAAAATGTAATTAATTATTAACTATAATTTATCTTGTATTCATTTAGGATTTTAAATGCAACTGATTTTTTAAAATATCTGTATATTTCTTTTATATTTTAAAAAACAAGTTCAAATGAAAAACAAAAAGCTCAAAATCAACAATAAAGAACTTTACAACCAATTTTTTTTTTTTTTTTTTTTGTTAATTCACCTCCTCAAGGCCGAGAAGGTCACTACAGACGAGGAGGCTACTTATTTGTGGTAATAACCCTCTCTTAACTCTATAACTCCAAAACACAAACCATGATGAACAAGGCCGCTGCGCGGAGAAACAAGTTGAGCGCGGTACTACCAGGGACATGGTGGGGATCGAACTCGGAACCTTTTGCTTATGAAGCGAGCGCTCTACCATTACACCACTACGGCAATCACAACAATAAAGAACTTTACAACCAATCACAACAATAAAGAAATTGAAAAGTGAAACTTTTCTGAATAGTTGCAATGTATATTATACCAAATCTTTTTTAAATCAAAATTTTTTTAACTAAAAATTTCTCTAGTCTAGCTAAATCAACATCTATAAGTTTTATAAAATAAAGAAAAATACAATCCTAATCTCAAATAAAATGCTGCCATCAATTTTTTTTTCAAAGCAGCAGAGCTTATAACAGTAAAGCAAAATTCAACTATTTCGAGTGATAGCTCTGAAGTAAAGGTTAGTATGCATTATTATTTAATACTCAGTTATTTGCTGTTTATTATTGTTTTAAGATCTCTAAAAATAAAATAAAACATCAGTATAGAACTATTCTATACTGCTGATTGATGGTTTGATTGCAAAAACAAAATTTAATGCTATGTTAAGAAAAAACTAGGATTGGAAAAATAGGAAGGAGTTCAGATAAAAATGATCAAGACAATTTATACATTATAAAGAATGAGCAATAATAAAATTGTTATTTATCAGATTTATGTGTGACTCAAAAAAATAAAAAAAAGAAAGAAGCTGAGATATTAGAGAGAGATTGGAAATATCGAGTATATTGAAGAAAAGGTGTTATGACCTAAATATTGTTGTTTTTAAGCAAGCGTGGAACACTAAAAACAGTAAAAAATAATGATTATTTTTTCTTTGCTTTAAATTAAATCTCCTATACAGTTTCTTGGATTCAGATGTAAAAGCTTTTATTCCTTTTGATCAGCTTTAATTTAGCAGCAAGGTCAGCGAGTCAAGCAATGAGTCTTGAAATAACATGACTATAATATCTCAACTCTCACTGCAAATGACTTTATTCCAATTAAACTCTTTACTTACTAATTTTTCCAATTAAACTCCTTATTTCTAATTTTTCAGAATAATCCTAGCTTGTTTTTATCTCAACTTTATGTGTAATTATTTTTCCGTTCAGCCCTAAAATACAGCTTTCTCCAAAATATATTATTTTTTGCCTCCAACAACAAACATCCCTATATTTTTTTCCAACAATTTAGATAGAGGCAAGTCATCA